CATTCCAGTGGATGGAATGCTCTGCAAGCTGCATATCCACAACATAGTTTTAGGCTAACTTATATAAGTTGATCTGGTAGGAAATAATTTGCAGTAAAATTCCAGCACATTATTTGGGCTTAGGACAACTTCTGCTGCTTTCTACTGAATTGTGTTATGTGGAATGCAGCTTTAGAGTGGTACTGTTCAAATGTTGGATTTATAGCTAATCAAATGTGCAGTGTTCCTTAATGTGTGTTACATCCTGCCCCTTTCTCCTCGGTGCTGCTGAAGCATTGCCATCAGCACCATGTTTGGTCTCTGTGATGTTCCTGTGCACAAATTCATGCTGTAAGTATAATTCCTGTACCATATATTTCCCTTGACATTCAGAGCTTTGAATGCTTTCCTGACTACATAATTTTGGAAGTGACAGATTTCTGTTAAAATGTAAGATGATGGTCTTAAACTGCCAAATGTTTTAAATAGTTCCATTGGCCTCTGTTAGGATTGGTGTTTCGAATTAAAACTTTTACAGTTCTCCAAGTGAAGAGAATATAAACTATTCCATTTTTTTCCCCTGAATATATTGATTTCCATGTCAAAAAGGTCAACTTTTGTATATATTTCATAAACAGATCAATTACTCATTACTTTATAACCAGGAAAGAACCTATAAATAGCATCCAAGACACTGACAATCAATTGCAAAACTCTTCAGTAATGAATGTAAATATTTGCTATGAAAATGTTGATCTTTGTTACTGGTAGGTTGGGTTTTTTCATTCCTCTTAACAAGTGATGCTTCTATTTTCTTGATTCCTAACTTCATAAAGAAAACCACTTTGTCAGTCCTAATTCCACTGTTTTATAAAAATCCCAGTAACAGTTTCCTGAAAGATAGGATATGTGAGGATGTGTTCCCCTTACAAAGTTTTTGGTGCAGCTGAGAATAGAGAAGTCAGAACATTCCCCTGAGCACAATATACACATGGGGTTTTCTTAATTCCACAGGAAAGTGAGAAAATTCTGGTTTTATTTCTACTAACCAAATGGAAGTTAAAGGGGGAAAAAAAAAATCTCTGCAATCTTTGCTCTGTACAAGTGTCAGTTGAAACACATGGAATCACTTACTCAAGCGATCTCTTAAATTCTCAGAAAACCCCCAAACCCTAAATTAAGTCCTCCCCTCGACACCAGTGCGCTGCAGCAGGACACTCTGTCAGACAAGGAAAGGAGCTGGGACAACTGATCAGGGCTGCTTTTGTATAAATGTCATGATGATGTTTGGCTCAGTTGTTCCTGTCTTTTTGCAATGCATGTGCCTTTGTGGCAGTAGGTGGCATTCCCAGTGCTCCAGCACTTCCATGGAATCAGGACATCCTCACACGGTGAGCAGCACTGCGCTGCTGGGACACGGATGAACAAAGGGAGGACTCAAAAGCAGCAGCTTCCTTTTTAACCTGCGTGTGCATTGAAGTGTCCTGTGTGTTTTTCCATGAGGTGGGCAACAACTTAGAGGGCTTTTGGTTGATTTTAAGTCTTAAAGCTTCTGTTTGTGTGCTGCTGGCTCATCACCCAAATTTAACAACCAGTCCAGTATCACAAAGGAAGTTGGTTCGTGAGTTTCCATCCGCAGCTCATTAGCCCAAACTGTGCATAGGATGGGGCTAAATGAAAACATTTTGAAGTAAGCAGGGCTACTCTTAAAACAGCAGTAGTGTTTATTCTGTGTGGCCTTGACCCATGGAATGCAGTTTTTTGAAATGCATTGACTGCAGGTAGTAATGCTTTAGCTCAGAGCTGTTTATCATCCAACAGCAGCATCTCCCAAGTTACAGTCACTGCTTAGCACTCAGAGGCCACTGGATCCCTCTGATGGTGCTCTCCTCTGCCAGCTGCAGGAACAGTCTGGAGACCTATTGTAGGAGAAAAGCCAAGAAATCTGGGTGTGCAAGAGGGAGAGGAGAAAGGATGTGGTGGTCTGAGGGGCTGTATGGGACCTAATGGACCCTGAGAGCTGAATGTGTGCCTCCCAAAGAAAACGGAATACTGGGCTTCCTCAAAGCATGAAGCAGTCTAGAGACAGGAGCACATTTATGAGACAGTGCCATGTAGCAGGATGTTCTCCAGAGGAGGAGAAGATGGAAACTTCTGAGGAGCTTTTCCCAGGTGAATGTCCTGTCCCCTCACTGAAGCACCGAATCCAAATCAACTTTGACCTATGTGACATGGAAGTGGTCCTAGCTCAGACTCCTGCAGAAAGATGTAGCTAACATTCTTTCTACACCCCTCATGCAGAGCAAGAAAAGGAAAATAGAACAGAAAACTTGGTATGTGGTGGTTGGGTTAAGAACTGCTACAGACTGGCAAGTCAACTTTGAGAAGACAGGATGTCATTTTAAGACATAGAAATCATACTTGCAAATTATTTGGCAAATTTTTAAAACTTCCCAAGGAAAGTGCTTTTGTGTTTCTCCAGGGTACAATTGCATGCTTTCTAGATGAAGTATTTGGGGTAGAATCTCTTTGAGAAAAGAGTCCCAGGGAACAAGACTTGACTACATTTTATCCTGAAATCTAGGAAGAGTAGAGATTTCTACCTTGCTTTAGAAACAGCCAATAAAGTCACACAGCAGTTTCAGACTTTACTGTTCAGATATGTTTAATGACATCAAATTTTGGCATATGTCTTGCTGATCTTTAGAATTTCAGTTTGAGCAGTGTATTTAATAGAAAATGGCACAGTATGTTCCCAAAAGTGTCCTAAAGATTATATCTGTTAGTGTCAGTTTTGCAGAGATGTATTAGTTAACTGTACTGCACAGGAGTGAAGAACATTTCTTGTTAATTTAGTGAGGGAGAAAGCTTGATGACACATGCAAATGGCACATCATATATTTTAAGTTCTGTGTATGTCGCCTACACTAACTGCATTTGTCCTTTCAACATCTTTCTTAGCTTGAGCACCACCATTTTTGAATTTTTTGTGACTGTGATATTAATACACCTGTTAAATAGAAGATTAATTACATAAAAGCATTTTTATTAAAGATTAGGTACCCTTTGGGGGGAAAAAAATATATATATATATATATGTGGAGTCCTGATGATTTCTGCTCTGAAATTACTGTCTTCCTTTCTTTACCTGGCAGCTGTCAGTGCTCAGGAAGGAGCTGGGCCAACTCATTCCCTGCAGAAGTACAAAGTTCTTGGGGTTATGGGAGACACTAATTCTCAAAGTAATTAGCAGCTGTGTCTGTAGATGTGCTAACAATCTCAGTTTGTGCAGCTACATGGAGCAGTGCTGAGACACAACCTGAGAGCTGCAACAGTGCCTACATGAATGTGGAAATGGGGCAAGGGCAGCGCTTGGAAGTTCATGTAGACATGAGCTTCTCTTCCATGAGAGTGGAACTGAAGTGCCAGGAGCAGCTGTCCTGTGAAACTCCTCTTTGACATGCTACAGATGCCCTCAAAGGACAGAAGGTGGCCCAAGTGTGAAAGAGTAGCAGGAGAATCTGCCCTAGCCCTGTGTGCCAGCATTTAAGGCAGAAGCACATGCAGAAATACTTGGTGTAGCTCCAGCAGTGCTTCACCCTGGTTCTCTCCCGTCTTCCGCAGGGAGTTGCAGTGTAGGGATGAGTTTGCACTGAGGCATCTGGGCAGGGGAGCACAATGCTGCAGTTTGTTGTCTGAGGAAGAGATTTACTGGCAAAGCTGCTGCTCTGGTGGGGCACAGAAACCCTGTATACAATGTGGGGATTAGCTCTGTTTTATGCTGGAGTAGGTGAGAAATCAATTTTCTAATTTTATTCTTCAACCATGGCAGAAACTATTCCCCTTTTTAGACACTTCTATTGGCTCTGGAGAGGTGACTCTTCTGAGCTATAAGAAGGATAATTTTGTACCAGATACATATCTGCTTCATAATGATAGGTTCAGGAGCAAGACCTTTATCTAAGATCAAGTACCTTCAACTATTTCTCCACCTCCAATTATTATTGTTGCAAAAGATAATGTGGGGTTTCCAATTATCTGATCCCATTTTTAACTGCAGGTTGGTAAACAGCAGCACTGGCATAAGTTGTTTTGCAAGGACTGTGCAGCAGCCAGCCCTAGTCCCGTCTTCCCTCTGGCTCCTTGACTCTCCAGGAACATTTTACCCTCTGTGCTTTTTAGCCTCTGATGTTCCTGCTAATGCCAAGAGCTCCCTCACACAGCTTCGTGCTTCCTGCCTGACACTAGGCAAAGCAAAGCAGAGCTCCTCAGCCTTATCGTGGGTACCTCTCTCTGAAAAGCTCAGAGAGAGTCTCTGTACCTGGGCACTTGCAGTGGGGAGAGCACAGCTCTGTCTCCAGCTGGCTCTCGATGCTGCCTGCTGAAGCTTAGGCAGTGCCAGTTCACTCTGCAGTTGTTGCCAAGGGCACAGATCAAGTTTCTCACTTCACTCCCTGGGAAGCCAGAGTGGATGTGTACCCTGAGACGTTTTGGAGTCTGGGTTCAGTTCAGCAATGGGTGTCTTTTCCCCAGGGAACAGTTATTAATACCTTCACAATAAATGATGTCTGTGAACGGAGTGCTAGAATGTCCTAATGATGGCAACAAGAGCAGAGCAGGGGACACGTGCTCTGAAGCTGGTAATGGCATCTCCCTTCATGTCCTGCAGCAATGAGATACTTGGATTAATTCTAAATGCATTGGTAACATATGGGTCTAAAATTATTTTGTGCTATTTAGAACAAGTCCTTTGAGCTAAGGCTGTTGTAAATTCTAATTAGTCCATGCTAATCTCCATAATAGGCAGCTATTTCTAATGCAGATCTAACTGATGATGTCTGACAGCATTTTCCACACTTATTTATACACTGGCAGCAAGCTGGCAATGCTAGGGTCAGAATGTTTGCTCAGATTAAGAAAACTTTACTTTCTGTATTCTGCATGGAGTTTGGATTTGCTGCAGGCTTGTGCCTGTTCCTGAGCACTAATTTATGCCTCTTTGCTTGTATCTATCTGTGCAGAAAATAGGGAAAACTCCTTCAGCCGTTCCCGAAGCTCCAGCGTGTCCAGTATCGACAGGGACTCAAAAGAGGCAATCACAGCTTTGTACTTCATGGAGTCCTTTGCCCGAAAGAACGACTCTGCTGTTTCCTCCTGTCTCTGGGTCGGAACAGGCCTCGGAATGGTCATAATCCTGTCCCTTAATCTGCCTGCTAGTGACGATTTACGGCAGTCAGAGCCAGTCATGGTGTCACCAAGTGGTGAGAGTGCAGCTCTTTTCCTGCTTTTTATCTGTCTTGGTACAATGGGGCAATAACTGCATGATTTTGTATGGCCTTTTGGGCAGAAATGTCTCAAAAAATGAAGCAGTGGTCACTCGCTGAGTGGAGGGCACACAGGTAAAGATGTTCATGAGGGACCAACAGCTTCATGGACTGAAATGCTTTGGTTGTGTTAGTTCCAAAGATTGCCTTGTGTAACAGGCAAAGTTATGTGTTTCTTGTGAGGAGAGGGAAATTACCAGAGCTCCTTCATATTGTGAAATTACAGTCCTGTTTACAATTCTGTCTGGGATTCTGCAAGAAATTTGGCTGTCTTAGTATCAGAAAGCTGCAGAGAAGCAGAAGGGAGTTCAGGAAAGGAAACTAAAATGTTGGCAGGTTGCTGTACCAGGAGAGATCCTTGGCTGAGTGAGTGACAGATGGTGTAGCAGAGAGAACAGAGGGCTGAGAGGTCAGGTCTGAGGAGAGGCAGCATGTGCTTTAAAAATGGACAAAAAATGGAGAATGCACAGAAGCAGAGGTTTCCCACCCCCAGTTTGTTTAGAAAAACAATGCTGAAAGGTCACCAGACTTAGAGCAAATTTACTGCTGGAGAATACATATTCTACTAGTATAATGTAGAGATAAACAACAGGCCATCTTCAACAGCATGTATTACATCCATCATTCTAGATATCAGCTGCCTGAGAGCTTTCCAGCACTGGCAGGCTGTTTGTTCACCTTCTCATGTGGTCAGAAAGAACTGAGCAAGCATGCCTTGTCACCTTGGCTGGATTAATGTGTGTGATGTGTTTACAAAAGCTGGGTGTCAGCTGTGCTGTGCTAACAACCAGGCTGGTGCCAGTGCCAGTAAGAGGAAATTCTGTTCTGCAGGCACCGTGCTGACACTGAAGGGAGCCGTGCTGACCTTCGCGTGCTTGGACTGCATGGGGACATTGACACATCAGCCCTATGAAGTATGGAGGGATCCACACAGTGCTGATGATGGTGACAAAACAAGGAAAAGGAAACTTGTCATGCATTCCCCTTCCTCCTCCCAGGATATGGGTGATCATCAATTTGCAGTCATTTGTTCAGAAAAACAAGCCAAAGTCTTCTCATTGCCTTCCCAAACATGTCTTTATGTCCACAACATCACCGAAACGTCCTTTTTATTGCGAGCAGATGTGGTCACCCTCTGTAACAGCGTCTGTCTGGCGTGCTTTTGTGCTAATGGGCACATCATGACACTGAGGTACTTATCTAACTAATCTTGTGGCAAAACTAAGCAAAGAGGAGGCACAGGGCTGTTACACTCCACTTGTGTTTGCCCCAGAGTGCCTGATGCTCTGCATTAACTCCCTGGTGGGTGTGTTTAGGTCCCTGCCTTGATGCAGCCATACCTGATCCTTGGGCTGTCTCCACATGGGGAGTTAAGGCAGGCAGGTGCACAGTAAAGCAAGCTCCTGTTTTTTTTCTAGTAATCCCCTACCTGTGACAGTAGATGGTTGGTGTTTTTTAACTATGATAAAAGAAAGCCTTGATAATTTTGCCCAGCTGTGGTGGGTCAGGTATAGAGAAGTGTAGAACTCAGCCACAGAAAGGGTTTTGTTTATCCTTTGTGAAGTACCAAGTCCCACTCTTGGCATTTCTGGAGCTTTTCTGTTCAGAGCACTTGGTCCCCTCCCCCTGGGAGCTGACTGTGCAGTAGCCCTGTAGTTGTACTTTCACCTTGCTGCTCCCTGTTTCCCTGGCCAGGCCATTTAAATTTGGGAAAGGCCTTTCCAAAACAGCAAACCACGGGAAGCTGGAGGGACAGCAAAGGCGATGCTGGAGCCTTTGTCCACAGGGTGGAAGCAGGGCCCTGCCAGACCCTTTCCTACAGATGTCCCTGCAGGCATTGCCCTGCAAACGACCCAGCCCTGTGGCACAAGCCATACCGTGCCACATGCACATCCCATATCCAGACAGTAGCAGAAGCCTTAGGGCCATGGAGGCAAGGCAGCCAAAATCCCTCCATGCAACCAAACAAAATATGATGGGAATACAGCATTTTTATGGCAAAATTTTTCAGCTTAGAGCTGTTAACTGTTAGTTAACAGTTAGTTAATTTTTCAGCATAGAGCTGAATTTATACTTTAACTGTTGCAGTTATGGAGAGCATAAAGTGAAGTGTTGGTTTAAAATGCAGGCACAGAGCAGGTGTACCATGTGTGGCAGCTGGTGACTAACCTGGGAATCTGCTTCTCCTCAGCTTGCCCAGCCTTCGCCCTCTGCTGGACATCAACTATTTGCCTGTCACAGACATGAGGATAGCACGGACCTTTTGTTTCACTAACGAAGGGCAAGCTTTGTACCTGAGCTCTCCCACCGAGATCCAGCGCCTGACCTACAGCCAGGAGATGTGTGACAACCTGCAGGTAGGGCTCACACCTCACTCTGGTGCCTGTGTGTGGGAGGGATGGTGGCCTCACTCATCAGGGGTAAATTGGCCCTGATAAGGACAGTGCTGCAGGGGCAGGACAGATCTGTTCCTCTCCACTTGCCCTGAGTGAATGATGCCAAACCAACAGAGGGAGGTCAGCAGCTCTGTTGTTCCTTGGGCTTTTTCATGCACTCTCACCTGCACCTGTGCAAAAGGTCTTTACAATGTTAGAGATGGGCTGGTTTGGTTTGGTTATTTTACAATGAAAATGCAAATAAGAATGTCATTTACTGAAGAGAAGGAATTGTGAGAGGTTACAGGGAGGAACATGAGTAATAAAAGGGAAAAAAAAAAAAAAAAGAGGGGGAATAAGTTCTGGGTTATATAATTAGCAGTGAACCAGAATGGAAGTATAAAAGAAATGGTCCTGCCAGCACTCATTATGGCCTAGGGAATAACATGTGCTGAGCTGCTCAACTCACATCACAGCACTGTCTGTCTCAAGTCTGAAAAGGCACTTTGAGGAGCAAGCATTGCACACCAGCTTTTGTCCACCAGAGAGGAGATTATTTTGCAAGGAGCCAATTTTAAAATAATCTAAAGGTTTGTCTGATGCATCTTAAACTATGGACCTACAGCAAGAGGATGTTACAAGCTAAATTGTTTTTTTAACCAGCCTTAACAGCACCATGCAACTACCAAGCAAAGGGAAACACAGCCCTTGCTTCTCTGTACTGCTGGACTGTGGCTGCTTTTATCTTGGCTTTTAGGCAAAAAAAGGTTTTGCATGGTCATTATGTGTGTACAGAAAGCAGATAACCCAGTATCACCTGCTACCTGAGAAAACAAAGCTGGGCTGCATGAGAGCTCCACTTGGGCTCCAAGGACTGCAGTAATTTTTCTCCCCAGAGCAGGTGACTGTGCAGAGGAGCAGTGGCTGTGAGTCACTGCGCTGTCCTCACACTCAGCCCCCAGCAGCGAGCGCTGTGTGCAGCACAGCAGCTGGATCTGCCAGCTGAGGCTTGGCTGAGCAAACACAGAGCTGAGCAACAGGGCACAAGCTGTTCCCAGTGCACACAGCCCCCTGGTTTCAAACACTAATGGGACTGCACACTTTTCCCATCAGTTTTTTTTCCAGAGAGCTGGCTTTTCCTAATACTGCTGCAAATAAATCTGAGCCTGACATTTGTTTGGAGTGACTGTTCCAAGATGTGGCACCAGAGTAGTGCCTTCAGCAGATGTCCTTATTTAGTATGCTGATGGCACAGTAATGGGGTGCAGGAAGGTTGAAGGAAGGTAATGAATTTTTTTTTAAAAAGAAAAAAATTGACCACAAGACAAACTACCAAACTCTGAATTGTTGCCAAGTGTTGAACTCAGGTGTGCTATAAAAAGAAAGCAGAGTGACTGCTCAGCCTGGCTGGACAATCACTAAAGCAAAATACATAATACACAACAAATTGTTTATTCAATTATAGTGTCACCTCTGCTGTTTGTTAGCAAAATGTGACCTTATCACTGGTATTTTCATTCTGTATTAACTGCAGGGTTTTTCCTCTGGTAACAAACATGGGACTGGGTAGTGACAAACCAAGTCCCTTTGAAAGCATTATTGAGTCTAGTTAGCCCAAGCATTTGTCAGAATACACAAATACTACCTACACTATACTGTTCACACAACAGACTCTTTTAAAACAATTTGATTTGATCCAGTGTATGTGGCTTGTTAATGAAAATCAAGAAAACACCTAGAACCACTTTCACCTCATTAACCTTTTACATGGACTTTTTTCTGGCTTTATTAGGACATGCTTGGGGATTTGTTTACTCCTGTGGAAACACCAGAAGCCCAAAACAGAGGCTTCCTCAAAGGACTTTTTGGAGGAAGCGGACAAGCTTTTGACAGGGAGGAGCTTTGTGAGTAATTTATTGCTTGGGGTTTTTTGGGTAGAAATTCATTCTTGAGATCCCCTGCCCTTGTCATCTAGGAATGGAGCAATACACAAGATTTAGATGATTGATGAAAAGAGAAAGTTGACCTAGTGGAGGAAGGGGAGGATCCTTGTCTGCCATTCCATAACTCCTTCACCTTGGCAGCTTCTTTTGATCAGCTGAGCGGGGGGCACAGGACTGCGCTGCAGATGTGGTGGTGGCAGAGCAAAGCCTTCCAGATGTGCCACCTGCCCCTCCAGTGATGTCACTGCTGCAAGGCGGCAGCTCGAGCCTGGGGAGCACTGACAGAGCCAGGCCAGGAGCTCATCGCTGTCTCTCTGTCTGTCCATTTCTCCTTTGCAGTTGGCGAGGCCACAGCAGGAAAAGCCTCTCGCAGCCTGGCCCAGCACATCCCTGGATCTGGCGGGATTGAAGGCGTGAGAGGAGCTGCGGGTGGGGTCATTGGGGACCTGACTCGTGCGCGCATTGCCCTGGACGAGAGGGGACAGAAACTGGGCGAGCTGGATGAAAGGACTGCCAGCATGATGGCCAGCGCAGAGGCGTTTTCCAAACATGCACACGAGGTAGGAACCCTGGCACCCACACCCTGCAACTGGCAACTGCCAACCCTGCCACCCAGCCTGTGCTTCCCTTTGGGAAAGCCAAGTGCCCTTCTCTCCCTCCACTCAGTCATGGTGTTGGAGGTGTGCTCATGTCAGCTGGCACGGCATTGTTCCTGCTCCCAAACTATTAGAATGCCCAAAATAAACACACCCCTTCCTTTCACGTTTCCAGAAATGAGCATCCATTGTTAGCCCCTGAATTTAGAACATGGCACTTCTCATCTTGCCTTTCTCACTGATTCGTTATGGTTTGTTTTTTTAAGCCACTTAATGCAGCACAACCATGCGTAGGGCAGAAAACAGGTAGGTGGATGAGTGTATAGGAACCTTTACAGATCTTACTGGGAAGAGGAGAACATTACTAGTACAGCCCTGTGGTACTGTTATGTAGAATAGGCCTTGCCAGGAATAGGAATAACTTCTGTGCTTGGAGCTGGAAATGGAAAGCTTTTCCATCCCACGCTGTTAAACTGGGAAACTTTTCCCACTCTGGGAAAACTAAAATGATTTTTCTTGAAGATAAAACAACATCAAAGCATACTTCCCAAAATGCACATTTTTTATTTAATGTGCATCACATCTATGGACAAAACCTTTACATTTTTATTGCCTTTTGTTAGTTTGAGGCAATATGCCCTGGATTGCAAGAAGTTTATATAGTTAGGGCATATCTACTATGCTCCATAGAGAAGTGTCTTTTTATTTCTATAGAAAGCAAGTTCCTTTAATTTTTGAAGAAGAAAAGTAGTTAAAGTTCCTCAGGGAAAATCTTTTAAAATCAGCAATAGCGGGTAACGCTTTTTAAATGTAATAACTATGAAATTAAATATGAGATCTCAGTGGACTCAAGACCTGCTGACATTGTTAGTGAAGTATTGCATTGTTCTGCATTTATTAATTCTGAAGTTTGACAGTTAATGGGCCTAGGTCGTGTATGGTCTCTCATATGCAGAGCGGTGTTTGATTGCCATTTGTTTGGGTTTTTTCCCATCTCTGTAGGTGATGCTCAAATACAAGGACAAAAAGTGGTACCAGTTTTAGACTTTCAAAGAAGCTGCTTGTGGCTTTATTAAGAACACTGTTCAGGGAAGCAACCTTTATTCCCAGATCTACAGTCACTGGCCAGAGACAGTTTTTTTCTCCTAGAAGATGTTTTCCTGTTATTGTTATTGGATTCATCACAGTGGATATCAAGGAGAAGTTTTACAGACCGTGGGATAGAAGCTGAAATCATGAGGGTCTTTCCAACAGCTGACTCTTGGGGTGGCTGATTTTTTTCCAAAAGGAACTCAACCATCACTGTGGCATGTAGTTTTTCAGAAGCTGTAGGTATGAACTATGGGGAGTGCGTCTGGTTAAAAATACTCTGTACAAACTCGAATGTTAATGCACTTATAAAACTTTGCATGACTAATTGCCAACTTAAAAAAAAAAAAAAAAAGGAAAATGAAGCATGTTGTGACCGAAGAAAAATGGGATTTATTTCTATTCTGAGCAAAAAAAAAAAAAAAAAAAAAAAAGAAAAAGAAAAAGAAAAAAAAAAAACCAAGAAAAAAACACCTTCAATGACAAAAATATTTATTTTTTAAAAGTTATATTATAAAAAGCCAGGACATTTCAAGCATGTTTGCTACTGTTCTCCACATAAAAATGAGTTGAGCTGCATTTTCTTATCTGCTATTTATTTCCCTTGAAAAGCCTTGCTCAAGGCAGTGCTCTTTAAATCCTACCAGAAAAAAAAAAATTAAAATCCTATCCCCAAAATCTAACGATTTTGCAGTTAGCTGGACAGGCACTATCTAAAAAGATGATTATGACATGTGCATAGATGGTTTATTTGCAATTCAGAGCACATGAAACATCATCCTAATCTACACTTTTTAAAATGTGCTCTAGATCTATCTGTTGTCCTTGAAGGGGGGCCATGGCACTTTTCATCCCCGTGGAGTCTGTTGCCTTATTTCCCAGTAACAGGAATAGAAAACCAGCTTTGGAAAGCATTTCTTCAAGTTAGGAAAGGCAAGATGGGAAACCACAGTCCCATCAAACACTGCTCACAGAGGCTGCAGAGAAGCTTACAGAGCAGTTTAAATGCTCAGCTGAAATTATGAGAGGGGTCCTGCACAGAAACCCCTCCAAAACCTTTGAGAGAAAGAGAGATTAGAGCAGAAATACTATACAGTGGGCCAGGGGGGAGCATGGAAAACCATTGTCATCACATATAGGAACACAGATGTAAAGTGACACCATGGGTGAGTGGCAATTTATACTCTGCTCACACTGCTAAAGGTTCTGCTTCTGCTTCAGTGTGGCTTGTTTGGTTTTTGCAGTGAATGCTGCAGAAAACTCTGCAATCCACAGCCAGAGAAGAGAACAGTAAGCTGGATTTATTGCCTATCCTGTTCCACCCTATCCTACAAGACTCACTGCCACACATGCTAACTCTTAGGTTAGAAATTTTTCCAAGATTGGCTTGGAAACAAGGCACTGAAGGCTTGTTTTCATGTATCTGGACAGTGTCAAATTAGAAAAAAGAAATTGAGGAAAAGCTGGAAAAACAGCCTTTAAAATTTTTCTTCTGAAGAAGTGTAACATCTTCTGTCTCTTCAAGGAATCCTGATGGACACTGATGGAGACAGGCACCATCCCACTCCCACCTAGACCTTAACTTCACTGGTGTTTGTATCATCACAGTGTTCAGATAATCCCTCTCAAAGACATATTTTCCTTCTCCTTCCTTTACCTACAATACAGCCCAGGAAGTTGTACCATCCACAAGTCTGGCCTCACAATTGGCCCTCTGCACAAGTAAAAGGGTTGGAAGAGATTTGAGGTGTTAAGTTTTAAATTCCCATTGTAGCAGAAGAGCACTGCATGATTTACAGGATTTTTACATTTTGCTGCATTCAAAATCAAAATGATGGCCCTGACAGGTTTAGCTCAACTTGGAATGAGACACCACAAGTTTGGAACAGGAGAAACTGCTCTATGGTGTCAGAACTGTAGAAACTTACAGGGGAAAAAGGTCAAAGCCTGAGCAGTGCCTGGGCTTCTGCTGAGAGCTAAGGAAATGGAGCTGTCCAGGACCCAAGAGGATTTCTCTGTGTGTATGTGTGTAAGGATAAGCCAAGCTTGCCAATCTGATGCCAATAGGGACTGAGTTGGGGAATTCCTTCCAAAGCTGGGTCACAGAAGTAGCCACTTGTGCCTGTGAGGAAGCACTGGTCTAACCAGGCATTGAGGATGAAAAATAAAGGAGAACATGATAGCAATTTGATCTTCAGTTCAACCTCTATTCACTGGGCCTGTGCTCTGGCCTGTAATCCAAATCTGCTGGTCTCTGGCCAACAAAATCATCTAGGGCAGCATTCAAAATGTCCAGCAGCCAGCTTATTTTCCATTCTGCCCTGGTGTGTGGCAGTCAGAAGCAGCCCCAGAGTCTGATTGGAATCATGGGCTCTTTGAAGAAAATTTAAGAGCAACTTCTGACTGCTGATCACTGCAGCTCACCCAGAGAGAAAAGTGTCCTCAACAAGTCTTTTACACAAGGCCCAACTGACTCTGGCTGCCAAGAGTCTCTAACACCAGGGTGAAAAAAAAAACTGCCACTAGATTTCCATTTGCATTTTTATGCAACAGAGAAATGAGAATTTAGCTGCCCTCAAACTTAAAATTTTTAATACTAAACTTTTAAGCAACTTTTCTTTAGTACTCCCCATCAGGTCACAGCTTTCCACTCTTACATATTTTACATATTTCCAGACAGTTGCCAATTACCATTTCTGTTAAGTTCACCACTTGTGACTATAATTATCAATTTTCTTGTAGTCTGTAGAGATCTAAAAAGTTGTATATGTTTGTATATAGAACATTCTATATATATAATATATATATGTAATGTATATGTTGTATAAGTTTGTTAGTGCACACTGTTAAATGCTTTCTATCAAGATTTGCCATGTATGTGGAAAAAACCCATCACTTAAAAAGTTCAGTGAGGGAGGAAAAACTCTTGCCTGGGTGATTTATTGTGAAATGAGGGGGAGTGTGGGATTTTTGTAAGGCTTGCCCTGAATGCTGCTCAAGGCTGTCAGTGACAGGCATGAAGCTGCAGCATTCCCAGCGAGGAGCACAGCATCTGACTCTGAGAAAGACTGGAGGACTGGCTGGAGGAAAATCAAGGACATTGGCTGTCACTGGATGTTGAAATCTTTCTGTGCTTTCACCTTTCCCCACTCAGACAGCACCACCTCAAGCAAAATCCCAAGCTTAGATGTCTCTTCAGCCTTGCAATCCTCAGCTACAGCAGGCCAGGTTGGCTGGAAGTATTGGTTCCATTTAAAATGCTCTTTGTTCATTTGGGTACTTTGTTCTCTCACATTCTTCTCTCCAGGAGCTCTGTCACAATCACATTCAAAACCAGTTACACAGAACTTCCAACAGCACACACACCTTTGGGTTTGACTAGATGTTTGTAATCTTATGTCAAGTGCTGTAGATAGACAGGAAAAAATGCATTAAATTAGATTATTTATAAGTCTGCAGAGTTGGCAAGTCTTCAATGAAGTACAAGCTACTTTATTTATTAATAAAAAAAATTAAATCCATTCCTAGAGCTTTAACTTCAGTTGCAAACCTTGAATTAAAAGACATGACAATTGAAATTTTGAGAATCAGGTTTTGTTTTCTATAATTACCTGGGGGGGGGAGGGGTGTGTTTAAGTTTATTTACAGTTCTGTAGTTCAACTATCTACATCAATTAGTCATTCCCCACAGTACCAGCTAGGATTGTTACAAAAATGTGTAACAAAAATACTCTATTTACTACATGTATTGTATAAAATTATCACATAAACCCTCCTCTATATCAGTTTATACTCCTTTTCCAGAATCCCTTTCACACCACACTGCATGCATAGGATGTGCCCACTGCAATTCAGGTGGGCATAGAAAGCATCTCTTTTTTCCAATAGAAATCATTTCAGAGCTGCTTCCATCCTTGGACCTCCTTCATATATAAACTGTGTGTGTTGCAGCACAGGCAAATCCCCAGTTTTTGGTTAATTATTCCCCTCAAATAGCCTGGGCCCTGCCCCATCCATCCTTTCCCATAGCCCAAAGGTGAATTCAAGCACAGCATAGTTCAGTCTTGAATGGTTTTTTGCCTTGGAAGGCTCTAGTAAGAGCACACTCTCTCATGAAGGAACTGCCTGTGGACATCCACAGTCAACTCTTCCTCTTAGGTGTATAAGCAATAGTCACGTAAATTAGTGTTTCCATTCATGTGTTTTGTTTTGTGATTAAATCAACAAATCAAACATTGTACTTTTTTAAATAGCAACAAATATTCAGATTCAGTGTCAAGGAAATGTGGGCTGAGTATGTGTGTGGTGTGTTGATGAGTCATTACCCGTGTCTCAGAACAAAGGCTGGTCTGGGGTGAACCACACGCTCCTGTGCTAACCATGTCCTGGTTCCACAGGTCTCCTAAATCAGTATCACAAAGCTAAGGCATCTTAAAGTGAGGCTGTCTCCAGCACCCATTAACAACCAAAAAAAAAAAAAAAAAAAAAAAAAAAAAAAAAACACAGAGGGAAAGAAAATAAAGGAAAGAATTGATACTAGTTGGTGTAATCTCTTTTTTTTCCAACTTTTATTCCTACATTCTTTATAGTATTTCAAAGGTGCATGGTTTGTGTAAAGCCTTTGGAGTTAACCCTTCACACAAAAATTGCAGTTGTGGTTGTTGCTGGGGTGGGGATGGTCACCTCCCTTCCTCCAGCAGCTCCTGCCAGGACAGAACCTATGCCCAGCTGATGCTCCCATGCTCCATGCCAGGGAGCTCACATGGGGCTCCTAACTGCCATACCAGCCCCAGGAATGTCACCAGCCTGGGACCAGGGCTACCAGCCAGCCAAGAGCCCTTCCTGTCACTCCCACTTCAGGATGAATGCTCAGCTCCCACGGACTGAGCTCTGGGAAGGGCAGGAGTGAGCTCTGGGTGAGGTGAGGGCTCTTCCCAGCAGCACATCTGAATTGCTGTGCCAGGAAAAGCTCCAAATGTCAGCCAAAGGTGCTGAGCTCCCCTCTCCCTCTTGTCAGCTATGTACAACTCTCTCCATGAAATGCAAGCAGCATGGGAGAAAAGCAAAAGGACCAAAGCAGATCAGATTGCCAGCGCCATTATTTATTACCTGCCTGTCACTGCTCCCAGGAGCCAGGGAGGAAAGGAAAGCTGCAGTAGAAAACCAAGGCAAAACAAGCTTGTGGTCTGCCTGTGGGGAAAAGGACCAAGAGGCTGCAGCAAACATCAAAGGTGCGAGCTCCTGTTACCAAGGCTGGGCAAGTTCTGCCCTGTACCCGTAGCCAGCTGAATGCACATTTTGAGCAGAAAGCAGATGGGAACCAACCAGACCAGGCTGCTCAGCAGCCCCAGGGGACAGATTCTCCCTGTGAGGAGCTGGGTCCCACAGGTCTCCATCATGTGCACACAAGGCACTCCCAGTGCCCACAGCTGTTTGCCAGGACTGCATCCCAACCGGATTTCTTTTGGCAGGCAGACACATCCCTGCTGGTGCAGGAGCCAGGCAAGGGCAGTGCAGGGCTGGCTGCAGTAGGAATTCTGTGTGCACCAAGGGGCAAGGCTGTCAACAGTTGTAACAAACAGAACTCTTACCCCTTCTGCAGTGTTCATCTGTCCTTGTGCCAGGCTGTGCCAGCTGACAGGAGGCTGGCATGTGCTGTGAAGGGAGAATCACACAAAGAAGCTGAGGAGCAAACACTACCAGATGCATCCCATCCTGACTACAGAGACTGAGACTAACCTGCATTCAGGTTATCAGGTCCTGAATTAATAAAATGCCCTCAGAAGCAGGGTGAAAGGCGCCCACAGGCAAAACCAGGTGAGTAATGTGAGCTGCCAGGCTCTTTCTTACCAACTTCAGAAAACAACATAAACCCTTTTCTGCAGTTCTGGACAGTGCCTCTGCTACCTGAGTTAGCCCTCTTCTGCTTCCACTGCTCAGTGTCGCTAAGAGTTAAAGTCTAATCAGAATTGAGGAACGTAAATAGCAGCAATCAGAAAACAGCTCATAGCCAGTCCTAGTAACACTCAAATGCCACAGTGGCTACCTCTTATCTTCTCATTTGCTCCAAATTACTGCTTAATTAAAATGAGCCCATCGAGTTTGTTAGTCAAAATAAGTTTGGGTACATGTTAATCCCCTTACTGATTAGCATCACCCCCTTCTAGAGAGCTTGCTGAGAAATACGTGTGAGATCCATGCTTTAGAAATTCTGAAGACAGCGTGTGGGAGGGAAATATTGTAATGTGCCAAAGAACAAGCAGCCCAAATGACAGCAGCCCCAGTGAGGCCTGGAATACAGCACAGGTGTGTCACTGCAGGACACCCAGGACAGGAAATCATTAGGCCATGTGAATTGATAATGAGTCCAAACCAGCATCTTCACAGGCAGAGCACACAAATGGTCGGGCACCAGGGTGCCGAGGCTCGGATCTGTTAATAACAAAAGCTTTAATAAAATAAGAAAAAAGACAATGCTGTGGATAAAGAGCTCAGCCATCAGGTGACAGGTGTTGAAGAAAGTCATGGCATAGAACAGGCAGGAAGAAAACAAAAAAATCTCAGTGTAAGGTGGAATACAGAACAGGAAAGAAGGCCAAGATGGTGCTGAGAAGGGCAGTCAAGGCAGCCTCATCTGGGCTCTGGCTCAGTGCCACATGTCTGCTCTGCTGCACAAGAGGCAGGTGGTGGATCAGAGTCTGGGATGCAGCCTTTTGTGAGGAAGCCCTATTAACATCTTTGAATGTTCCCTGTGTTCTCCAGCCCTCGGTGCTGGCTACTTCTGATGTCAGGATAACAGCCCTGCCAAAAGCGCCGCATCTGAAGTTAACGATCCTGAGCCCCCTCTCGGGCTGCTGAAAGCCAAGTGTGCATCCTCTCAGCTCAGGCTGAAAAAGCAACTTCAAAAGTACACTGCTTAAAAAGGACCCAGCAGAAGTTCAGAAATGAAAGGATAATTAGGGGCTTGAAAACTTCTCACAGGAGGCAAGAATGGAAAGATGGAGATTGATTACATTAGGGAGGAACTGCAGAAAAAGACATGATACAATAATTAGAGGCATAAGGAAGATGACGGGAGGTACTTGTCCTCCCTTTCTTGTAAGATACAAGGGCTAGACGATGAAAATTACAGAATTCAAGGTCAGGCATTGTGTGAAGTTAACAAAAGCAGTTGAACTTGTGTAACCATCACAGCTGTCTGGAAGGGAAATGAAAACTTGTGATGTGAGATTTAGCCAGACCAGAAGGTATTAGTGGGGAAAGTGATGCCAAATAGTGGCAGATTAATTCCCTGCAAGCTCCTTCCTTGCCCTTTCTTTTGAAGGATCTGATCCCGGCTCAGCTTGACAAGCCCAAACTCCCAGGAAAACTGAGTGATCACAAGGTCAGAGTCAAAGACACCGAGGCAAAGAGTGGGGGAAATCTGAGCAGGTTTTAGTGGGGCTGCCAACAGGCAGGTGTGAGGCTTCCTTAGGAGAATGGTCTCTGAAGGAAGAGCCACAGGTCACCCACCACAGCGTAACGATTCCTCTCAAGCACACCAGACCTCAAACACCAGCAAAGGCTGCCATGTCAGCTGGCCAGACTCAGATAGTTTCCTTCTTCACAAAAATATGCATTGCCATGAAGTTTTTAACCAATTCATTGAGCTTCATTCTTTAAAATGTTTCTGCTGGTGATTTGGTATTAAGAGATTCCAAGATATTCCTCTTGAGGCCAGTTTGCAAGGTAGCAGTAGGATGAATTACAGCAGTCACCAAAAGGCTTTCTTAAAAGCCAGAGGCCAACCAAGCATAGGTTCCACCCACTGTGAATGCTGACAGCTGCTCAGTGAGAAATCCAGCCAGCTGTAAAGTCACATCAGCACCTGAGTGCCATCAGCAGAATCCAGTACAAGATAATCCTAGAAAAGGCCTGCAAAATTCTACATCAAGTGCAATCACAATGACTCTTTTTGCCCCACACAATTATACACAATCACTGCCAAATTATGTTTGCACCTTGCTTTAATAACGCAATCCAGCTCATTTCATACGTAATAAATTCATTAGGCATTGGAGGTTTATACAAGATCAAGCACCCTTGACAGAATTAAATATCATTTTTTTAACAATTAATAATTTCACAGTTTAAACATGCTTCAGTGCTCTGACTGAGCTCTGGATGGTTTGGCTTGGTGAATTCATACCAGCTTCCACCACACGTTTCAGAAGGCAGCTTGGTACCCTGCCAGTAGAAACATGGCACAGGAGGATCACACCGCCAGCAGGTGATCCCAGACCTTCACCCTGCCCAGCCCATGGTGCCTCCTGCCTCCCCACAGTGGGAAAGTCACACAGCAGTGTCACAGCTCCAGGTCCTGCAGGGCTCCCCAGCTGGGGCCAATTTTCACTTTAACATCCAGTTTCACTGAGAGTTTGATGGCGTTTTCCATCTCACGTTTCACAATCTGAGCAACCTAGAAGAAAACATCAGGCATCAGACACACACACAGCTTCAGTGCTCTGAGTTTCTGTCAATAGCTGGGGCAGACAAGCACCTGGAATCCAATCCTGCATTTATTTGCACTGACTTACCACCGATGGGAATGCAACCAAATCCTGATTAGTGCTTATGAATGGAGAAACTGTATAAAGCCAGTGAGATTTTATGCAGCACAGAGCTCTGACTGGTTCTGCAGTGTTTAAGACTCCTCAAAGAAGGGGCCAAGATTAACTTTCTGTTAAACACCTGAGATCCTGAAGAGTCTCATCTTTCACTTAGCTGCACAACTCTTAAGTGTTTCCTGGAGTCTGTTCTGAAAACTTCAAGGTACTGAAAGCAAGATGCAAATTTGCCAGAAGCAAAGAACGGTGGCTCCTCCGTGTTGTGCCATCTTGAAAAGCACTCTGTGAAACACAAATTAGAAACCTCTGGGAAAGCAGGTCACATTCCATGTGGGTGCTACAAATACTGCCCAGGTTCCCCCTCACTATTTAGTTAAGGCAACTCCTGCCCTCTAGTAAGCAGATGAGGTAACTGTTCTCTGCTCTCCAAAAGTATTCCTAAGAAAACATTCATTTCTATACACAGTTAGGAGACCAGGAATTATTTTTTTCTGCAGCAGTTTGGATTACAAGAGACTGGATTTTTTTCTCCTGACTACAAAAACCTCCCCTGGACAAGGGTACCCCCTTTCCTCCCCCAAGACCTATGCAGAATCCAGTCTGTCCTGGATTGCTAATTTGAATGACTCTTTCAATCCACACCCATCCCATGAACCTTTCCACAGCAGAGTGAAAATAGGCTTTGAAATTATGGCGATTCCTCAGCTCAGCTAGAAGCCCCCCTGGCAGCAGAGGAACTATTCAAGCTGTCTGACCCTTTCATGTTTTTTCCTAATTTTCTGACAGGTAGCCACCATAGAAATTCCTCCATAGCTTTTTCTGGGGAATGGAGGAGGGGCTTGAGGAGATCAGAGCACAGGATTTTACAACAGCATGAAGAACTAGGGGAAAATCTGTTTTCCAAACCCCTATGCCCCCACATACTGCATTTCAAAATGATCTTGATAACCTAGAAAAGTGCTTTGAAATAGGATGTAATTCAGCACAGAGAAGTACAGAGTAGAAATAAGCAGGGTAGAGAATTAGGACAAAAATAATCTACTGTTCAAAAATAGGATGAAAAATAACTGCCTGGACAGGAAAAAAAATGGGGTTATCAGAGATTCAAAACTGAACAGGGCCTAAGCAAGGCACGCTGCTGTGAGAAAACAAGGAAACAAAATTCTGGAACATAGAAAATATCGCTTTCATGACACACAAATCAATTTTCCACTCTATTCAAACCACTCCAGCCTTGATCAAGTTTGGGGCCCAGCAGATCAAAAGAAACATGAACCATACAGAAGGAGATTCTCTGAGCATGGTCACAAGTCCAGTACATGGCACCAGCAAAGAACATCTGATTAGGGCTGCTGCACCCAGAACCAGAGGCAGCAGCTGTGCTGCAGGGCAGACAGGAAAACCTGCTGGTTTAAGCAACTGCCCAGAAAAATCTATGGAGAAATACATCTGAAGGGAGTTAGAAAAGCTAGTAATAATTACTCTTGAAGTTGAGGTAGTTAATGAAATAAATAGAATACAATAAATAAAAAGCAAATCCATTCACTTGTCTCCAGTTCTCCTGGGAACACCATGATAAACTGGAGTCAGTATCTAAAAATGTTAACGCCTATACTCAGGGGATTTTAGTATTTTACAGGAGGAATATTAGGAGCCTTTTTGTCTCAAAAACAGCCTGCCTAGATTGAAGCAGCAGATGTCTGAACAAAGCTGGCAAAATGAGAAAAAGCTCGAGCTGAGATTCAAGACAAAAATATCAAACCTTTTGTTTCTACTTATATGAACACATTGATATTATTAATAAATATATTCACTTATGTTCTTCATATTTTCATTAGCACATATTTATTAATATATACATGCATGCTCGGGCCAGTCAGCACTGCTGAAAGCTTTGTCAGACTAGGAGTTACTGCTTGCCAACAGGAGATGACCTTTTGTCATCAGAGATGTGCCTGTGCAGAAGTGGAAGAAAGGTATTCCAAGATATGGAAGCACGACCTGGGAGCCTCCCTGTGTCCATGCTCAGGACTTGGGAAACTCTGAGCTGCCAACACCCAGCTCAAACACCTGCCCCTGAGAGACTCCTCTGTGCCCAGGCCCAGAAGTGCCTTCGGGGAGGAGAAGCACACACACAGGCACTTAAAAACCACAGAGCACATTCCTTGTACCTATCCCACTGCCAACCAGCACCACAATGCTCCCACCAGGAAGACAAGGAGGTAGGGAGTGAGGAAACAAGTACCAAAAGGACAGAATCCTCCTTTCCCTGCACAGAATGTTATAATGTTCCACAGCTGTTATAATGCATGTTCTGAGTTAGGCACCAGAGCATAAACAGGAAGGCAAAAATACCTCCAGATGAGGAAACACTTCCCCCTATACCTGTCAACAATACTAAGCCACTTCGCTCATAAAGCCTCACAGATAATTTGCATGAATTGCTGTTACAAGCAACAAAGCACACACTGAAAATAAACTTCAGCCGTGGGGATGGCTTGAACCCGAAAATCAAGGGATCAAGCATGCAAACATGTTTTTTTCATCCAACTGAACTGTTTTCACAGCCTTTTCAGCACCCAGGGAGGGGAGATCCAGGGAAGAGAATGTGAGCTCCTAGAAGGAAGGCTTGTTTGAAATACAGGAACACAGCAGAGCTGAAAGAGGAGCTGCAGGGCTGTACCTGGATGACATCATCCTCTGCAACTTCATAGAGCAGCTCATCGTGCAGCTGGAGGATAAAGAAGCCTCCTCTGATGGGATGTAACATCCCTGTGTTTCTCTTCCTCGACAGCCTTCCTACACAGGTGAAGAGCAGAGTCTGTCAGGCACCATCATACAAAAGTGTGTTTCTTGTATCAAAAACCTTGGCACATTCCTAATGCTGAGAAAAAGAACGTGAGGACCTTGAAAATTAAAAAGCCCCTGCCTACAGACAAAACCACAAATCATGGCTATTCTATCAATATTTGTACAGCTACTGAGGAAAAAAATGAAAAGTATTTTAGATATACACATTTCAGCCTTACATTATAAAGACATGAATCAGAACAGAAGCAAGAGACAGTTGTGTCTCCTGAACCATCTGTTTTGAAAGTAAATTTTAAACAAAATCGTGCAGAGTTTAATCGGAAGCTGGTTTACAACATTCTCTCTGGCAATGAATTAGCGTTCTGCTTTTCTTCCACAAACATTTTAATGGCTAGTTTAAGGAAGGAGTAAGCCCTCTGCAAAATGCAGCTTCTGAAACTGTAGCTCCTGAATAGAACTGAGGAAGGAAGAAAAGAGCAGTTACTGAATAAACAAGTAAGCTGCTGACAAAACCAAGATCCTGGTGGGCCTTCCCTGACAAAAAATAAAACAAACCCTTCAATGGTAAAAGCTGTTGGTGTTTTAAAATAAACAAACACCACCTCACACACAGAGACGCAAAAGTTGTTTATTTCTCAGGTTAACTAACAGGAGGACTTCAGTTCACAGAGAGGGTTTCAAGCCATCATCAGTTGCTCACACAAGCCTCACACTGAAGCAGCAATGTTGAAGCAGCCACATGATGCAGGATGCTTCTCTGATGGCACAGGCGTCTCTAACTTGCTGAAAAATAATTCCTTCCTGTTCTTCAAACAGTATCAGAGCAGGGGAAAACTGTCACAAATGCATCTACTCATGTTCCTACAATTACACTGGCCAAAGGACAGTAGCTTCTGCTCCTAGGAGAGGTGGGAAGCTCTGCCAAACTCATGCCTTCTACTCTTAGCTGACCTCTGAATCTGGTCTCTCCAAATTAAACTCCCTGAACACGTTTTTAGAGGTTTGGCAATTAATTATTTAGTTTCCAAATCAGACTCTTCATATTAAGATAGCTTCATCTTTCAATTGAAGCATAAGAACTATCAAAGAAGTACAGCTCTCCATTTCTTAAGTAGCCTTCCTAAAATACACCTGATGAGCAAAACACCATCTACATTAAGCTAAAAAAAGTCTTTGTGGCATTCCTCTGGGAATGAGCAGCCCAGCACAGCTTTGCTATCTGCAGCCAGAAAAAGCTTACGCTGATAAGTGCTTCATATAATACTCTTATGAAGTCTCTGTACATCAAATTCCAGCCAACAAATTCCACACTTCATTCTAACAAAAAAAAATGTCTTTTTGGAACCAGGAGTCACCCCACTCAATTTTTTTCACTGCCTCTGAAGCCAGATTGTCTGCTCAGCTCCTTCTTTCTACTTCTGAACAACTCTGTGGTGGCATCACAGACCCTATCACCCTGCCAACCTTTGCAAGATCTGCTCTGAGGCAATTGGAGTCTCTGTTCTGGTCATGTTTCCTTTAGTTTGTTGAGCAGACATTTTTCCTCCTTCCTGATGACTTTTGTGACCCTTAAATACAGACTTACCACTGTCAGGAAATAAAACTTCTCTCACCTCTAGGCCCAAAAGCATTAATTTTTTTTTCATGCCCTTTTTGTTTTTTTTAATTAACATTAGTAACACTGAAAATCTTGCTCCAGTGTGCAAAGAAGAGGCAACCATACCTGTTTTATCTCTCTGGAAGGAGCTCTCCAGATGTCCATGGGACTTGAACACAGAGGGGAAAGCTTCCAGGCGTTTCTGAATGTTCACTGTGGCTGTTTTGACAATATCTGCAGCAGATCCCTGAACAGTTGTGTTCACAGCCTGGCGCTCTGCCTGAAGAGAGACAGTTGTTCTCAAACCTCACCCCAAAAAATCAAATCCAACATGTCACATGTACTTAATGAAAAATAATAAATACATGGCCAAATATACACAGAGTAAAAATTCCAAATAGAGTTTCTTCTATCTGCCTGAGAAAAAGAATCATTATAGACTAGCTTCAATACACAAAATTTCTACAGGCACCTGACAAAATTCCACAAATTTAAAATTCATGAATATCAAGAGTAATAATCTGCAAGTGTCACAATCCACAAGAAGAAGAGCCTATACCCATGGTAACAGTTTTCAAGGGGAGAGGAAAAATCTCAGTTAATCCAAGCATCACAAGACATTTCTGCCTAAGGGATGGACATAAAGGATGGATAACCAAAGGCAAGAAACTGGACTTCATGGACAAACAATCTGGTCTGCCACACTAAATCCTGACTGCCAGAGCATTACACACCAGACCACCATTTTTTTTTTTCAACACAAGCAACTTCTCTACTAATACCCTGCTCAGACAAGAAAGCTGTATTCAAAGTTTCTTTTTTCTTTGTTTAGAGCAGAAACATGTGCAAAGAACTATGAGAATGCTGAAATTAAAGTGAAGATTATTCATTAACTGGTCTTTAATATGATTTTAAAGACTAAATCAAATTTGGACAGAGGATGCATCTAGAAAGCTTTCTGCTGAAGTATTTTTCAGCTCAAATTGTCCATTATTTTCAAAAGTGTTTGAAAGCCTCCTTGTTTCCCTGTCAACTCTTTAGATTACAAACTCCCTCACTTCCTTCTTCTTCTTCTACTCTCATCTTTAATTCCACACTACTTGATCCAGCTTCCTACTGAGAAGTACAATGCTTCCTCCCCACAGAAACACCTCTCTAGGAAGTCAATTTACTCTTATGGAAGTTGAGTCTATGGGAGAAGTGTCCAAAATGACCTGGAAAAAAAATTATGCAAAGGTGAATGCTAAGTAAATATTTATCTAAGCAATTTTCCTTTCAGGGAAAATAAGAAAAGGAACAAATACCAAATATATAGGTCTTAAATGCCTTTTCCTGTTCAAGTGCTGACAGCATGTAACATACAAAGACTGCTGAGTGGGAGCAACTCAGCCTGAAGAGTTAAAGTGTACCCCTGGGTGGAGGCTTTTTAAAATCATGTCCATCGATTTCAATAAATTACTCACTCCAGCTCCAACGTGGGAGTTCTGAAGTGAGGTTAGCACAGTGATGAGAGCTGCACACCCAGTCACAGAAGACTTACGTCAAACAGGCCATGACAAAAGCTCTGTTACTCAGAGATTGACTGAGGAACAATGAACTAAGCAAGAAGTGGAAGGTCATGACTAAGATGGCTCACAAACCTTGTAAAACTGCAGACATGGCTACGCAGCTAAATCTGACATTTTAAAAATAAAACTAAAAAAGAATTTTAAAAAGGCGCCACACTCAACATACGTGAGCTTTACTGTAGGGATTTGGATCTTTGATAGCTGGCAGGTAGCGCCGTCTCCCCAGGATGGTCTGCACAAACCCATCCCTCCTGCAGCTCCGCACTGTCTCCCTCAAGAATTTCTGAACCCCTGCGAAAGGAGAGAGAAAGTTTTCTGTAATACAGCAGATGTTCTGTACTGACTTCTCAGTGGGGTCACTGAAAGCAGTCTGGAGCAGCCAAACAGCACAGAGGAAATCCTTTCATTTTCCCAGACCCCATCAGTGGACAAAGGTACATGATCACTCATTCAGCTCTGCTGCAAATCCTATTAAGAGTTTTGAGGTGGAAAAGAGTGCACAGTGTCAGGATATCTGGCTGTGCACAAGGAGGTGGGAAGTCCATCCTGCACACTGCCCAGGTACAGAGGGTCATATGTGTATTACTGATAATGGAGAGGTCAGAACCTGGACCAGCACTGGAAAGACAAGTAGTAGGAAGAGAGTAAATTGAAAGCAGGAGCCACAGTCCTTGATGCCTCAAGCTGCCTGACTTCAGGCTGTGTCCCTTCAGATTCTAGGATGAAATAAAATCACCCACCTGCACTTTGCAAGGGAAGGAGCAAATCCACCAAGAGTGTTAAAAAGAAACTTAGGTCAAAGAAAGGTGAGACAGGGAAGGGTGAACTTACACTGCAGGTTCAGGTAACAACTGTATTAAAGTGGGAAAAGTTAACTCAGACAGTTTCTTTCCATGTTTACAAAATATAAAATGTAAAAGGACCTATTCAAAATCAAGACTGACAGTATAAGCCAATTCACTAGGTATGTGATTTAGGAGTCAGCCTAGCAACACCTCTAGCAAGTGAAAACCCACGAGAAGTGAAGTTACAGCATAAGGTACACTGCAGTTTGTATGCACTCACATGTACCGAGAGAGAGGAGGCAGGAAGTTGTTCCTAATGGTCACAAAGGAGAGACTATTCAGAAATTATTGGAGACTAAACAGAATCTTAACAGAAAACCATTTTTCTGCATTTGTCTCCTAAAGAAACAAACCCTAAATCTTCAGAACATAATTTTTCACCTCATTTTCAAGTCCTATGACTAGAGCTAGCTGCTTCTTGCCCCATTTGCCCTCCATTATTTTTCTGATTCAGCTCTATTCTCTCTATATCTTTTCTAAAAATTAACATGCTTATCAGAAACACAGCCAATATCTTTTTACAAAACAGGGGAGAGCTACTCTAAGCAGCCTGATAAAAATTAAATGTTAATATGTAAAACAGTTTAAAACTCCATGAAAGCAGAAGACAAAAACAGAAGAAAGAAATGGTTATATTTAAAAATTATAAGAAGTACAATCTAAAGTTGTCACAGCATATCATTTGAAGCTGTGTTTTTATAAGGAAAAGCATGTTTCTCATTCAGAAACTGAAGAGCTTTAAAATTTCTCTTCAGGACTTAACTAATTAATTAAAACAACAACAAAATTATTATAATAAGTAAAGAACAAAGTCATAAAGGTGAATAAACCCAGAGTAGAGTACAGTATTACAGAGTATCAAACTGCTGCATTCATGCACTGGACATTTTCAAAATGAAAAGCATTTTCAAGAGATACAAGTAGTAGGTTGAGACAAATTTAGGATTTGAAGAGACATGGAGAGAAGGGATTAAAAACAACAACTACCACCACCCAGCTCCCAGACAGCCATATCCAAACCTGTATATCTCGATTTGAAAGATTCAATATAATTGGCAGCTTCATTTTCATCAATCCCCATCTGCTCGCCTAAAGATTTTGCTCCTATTCCATAGATGATTCCATAGCAGATCTGCCAGAGGAGAGGGTGAAGAATTACAACCGTTTGGTCAGCCACGCAGAGAAAGCAGAGCCAAAGCAAAATGTGATCCACTGGAAGACAAGTGTATGGAAACAAGGGCAAGTATTCGAGAAGGGAGACCCCCTCTGAGTCCAAGCCATTCATGCTGTTTTTCTCCACCCTCATCCCCCCCAAAAAAGCTCCGACAGCTCCAGTTGCAATGTACTGAGAGTGGGAGGACGGACAAAGCAACTACTGAACAATCACAGCCAAACTCAAACAGAAAAACGTACTACAATGTGTTGAACGCTGAATCTTCCTGCCCAGAAAGCTGCTGTGATCTTTGTCTTTAAATTACCTGCTTAGCTTGTTGCCTGGTCCTTTCTCCAACAGCTTCGGGATCAATCATTTTCCATTCTGCTGCGATGCTCTTGAAGACATCGGTACCGCCATTCAAGGCTTGAATGAGGCGACAGTCACAAGACAAATGAGCAAGGATCCTCAGTTCCAGCTGAGAGTAATCAGCAGCCAAGATTAAGCCACCTGAAATCAAGAAGTTATCAGAAAGCATTATTTCAAAAATTACTCCAATATTCCATCCAACTTCCCAGAAAGAAGGACTGAACCCGTCCTTTATCTTTTGCTCTGAGAGTTTTTCATAGCAATTTCTATCAAGACAAATTCTTGCCTGTTTCCCCAACGCTCAGGCCTGCATGCTTTACATCTAGTCACATTTAGAATCCATCAAAACCACGTAAACAAGAATCTGTGTGTATAAGATAGAGCAGGCAATGTGAGAACTGACATTTGGATAGAAACAACACCAGGTAGAGTGCAATTTGTGTATTAAGAGCTGCCTTAGGTACCTCTTTAAAAAACAGGTATTCTTAAAGAGGAAATGAAAGTGTGAACACGTAAATTGTATCATTTGAATACTTTGCCCCACTGAAACTCTCTCTTTTACAGTCATGTGAATAATTTTGAAGGCATGCTAACTACTGCACTAGTTTTCCAAGTAGGCTGCTTAGACACATATATACTGTTATCAATCCTTAAACCTCCATCATATCTGGGATTTTTTGCTAACCATATACTTAAAAATTCCAGAGCAGAACCTGGGTATTACCTGGGAAAGGAACAAAAGCATGCCTCATGCTAACAGAAAATTGTATTCCTCTTTCTTCGGATATGTTTGCAGCTTGAACCTTTAGCCCATTAGGCAAAATACTGGAACGCTTTCTGCATCTGTGGAGAAAAAAAAATGATTCTAAAATACTAAGAGATGTATAATCATTTTTACCACAATGAATTAGTGAAAACAAGTGAGACACTGGCCTCTATTCCATTTTTCTGGACAATCCATACCCAAATTTGACCATGGAGGAACTGGACAGAGATCCCATAAATACCTGAAAAGGATTTATTGATTCCAAAAAGATTTAGGGATAAATCTTCCTAGTACATTCAGGATTCAGTTCAGAAATTGGATAATTCTGCTCTAAAACTGGTAAGATGAATGGCCCCAGATCTGTGATGAGCTTATTCCAGAAAAACAATGGAGTCACAGGAATCCTAAAAATTCAACACTTCACCTTGAGTGCCAAGTCTCTCCACATCATTCTACTCTGCAGAATGCATACACCAGCCCAGAGGCAGAAAAATCCCCCCCCCAACATCTCCCTCATTACTGCACATGCACACATTCACTAGTAAGCCTGTAAAAACAGAGCAGAAGTCACAGAAGAGGTGCTCGTAACACACTGCACGTTTCCTCCCTAAAGACTGAGGGGAAAAGTGCCCCAAAGCTGCTCAATTTTCTTTTCTGAGAGGCCAAAACTTTACAGTGTCACCCATGTGCTCTGCGTCCTCTCAGGGCTGCTTAGGTCTCCTGTCTCACCAAGCCATTTGTAGCTGCAGATGGGATTGTATCCATGAGCACATCCACTGAACAGTGCACAGCTCTGACACCATTCACATTCTCCCATCAGCACCAGTCTACCAGACAGTCCAATGGGCTCTTTGCTGGAAGGCAAAAAGCCTTTTTAAGTCCTTGGTGTCTGGATCAGGGATCTGAGCAAATTCTTTATCAAAATGAATAGGTAAGATCAAGACTAGTTTTAGCAGAGCACAGAAGAAAACCATCAAGCTCTCCCTTGTGCACTTCCTTTTCTTCTTAAATATTGGCTTTTCAGGCATGGTAGGGATCAATGAGATGAATGCACAAAAATCACAGAAATAAATTTTCAAAAGAAATAAAGGTGAGGGACAATTGCATGTCTGGCTACTGCAGAAAATCACACTGTTCAGCGTAGGTTCTCAATTTAGTTAAATGAATAAGGGCTTTATATCATGACCTAATTTAGCTACGCTCTTTTGGTCAGAACCTTCTTTACAACAGGAGGAAAGAGTAGCAATAGTAGTTAGTAAGATAATAGACAGTTTGGACCAAAGTCTCGAAGGCCGATCAGAATTGCTTGGATGCCAATTTCTTTTGCGCCAGCAGTCATTTCTGTGCCTTTAGGATTGCCCAACTTCTTAACACAGGGCTGCTTAACTAAGGGATGTAGGAAAATATAGGAAAAGTCAGCCTGAGAAACAGACCTCTCAGGGTCTGGCAGGCACTGCAGTCTCTACAGGGAAGACTCTCAAGAAACCAGCACACTCCCCCGCCATCCTGAAAAGCTGCTGCAAGCCTGAGCACTGCCACAGCTTTATCTCAGAATGACATTCCTGCCTCCATGGCTATGCCTGGTTCTTCTGAGATGGAGATGAACAAGATCCTTCTACTCCTGAGTTCTTTTCTCACTACTTTCCCAAGGCACAAGGGTGTTGAACACACAATAGTAGCAGGTGCCAGATAGAAGAAGCAAAAGCCTTCTCAAATTTCTCACATCTTGCTGTGGGGAAAAGGACTTAGAAAAGTCACTCAGGTGACACAAGAACCTGAATGGAAAGAGAAACTGAAAGGGCAGAAAAGCACCACCAAGTAGGAAGCCTTAAAGCTCACAAGGTAGATGCTAAAAGATTGATCTTGGTGTTTCACTAGACTGCCACACAACTGTTAAGGTATTGGCATGTAATGCTGCCAAAGTAGAATTGTAGAATAATAGAAAAGAGGGTATTTGGTTAAGAGAAACCAAATTTAGAAATCTTCTTCTGCTACCTAGTAGTTACTGCAGGTCACTATCACAAATGAAATTATTAACAAAGAATGAAAAATATGTTCACCCCTGTTCCCTTAAAAAGGGAGCTGCACAGCATAAAATAAATGAATTTTCTTCTGCTTCTTCCACAATATTCTATCTTCTTTCAGAGTAGTTCTTAGCAAGTCAAACCAGATCCTAACTTCAGTTTGGTTATTTTCACACTCAGCTGGGAATGTAATGCTAATCTCACTGAAGAGTTTCATAAAGAACATCAAAAAGAAAGCAAATAGCTACAAGAAACCACATGCTGCTAATATTATTGTGTCTTTCATGTATCACTGATTTTTAGGTATTTATTCCCCAGTAACAGAAACACTGAATAACAAATCACACTGACACGTCAGCAGTCACAGGTGAAGTCAGAAAAGAGAAATTTGACAACCCGACTACATTAAGATTAGACAGAAGCTTTGTCAAGATCCTCCTACCTGCCCCCCAGTGCAGCATGAGAATTAACATTTCCATGGGCTTGGGAGGGGGGGCTTTCTTCAACCACAGTTGGCATTTCAATCTCAAAATCTCTTGGCACATTCTGGATATTTGGCTCTGTGAAGCTTACTCGACCTGAAAGGAAGATAGGGCAGAACTAAGGAAGGGTCCAAAAGGAGTCTCTCTAACTTAATACAGCTGCACACACTGCATCTCCAAAATACAGTGGGCAGGAGAGTGAGAGGAGATAACCACTGAAAAATTTTTTAAAAAGGAAAAGTCATTTGTGTTTAATGGGCTTGTGATGGTTTCCCATTGCTGTACCACTAATAGCCTGTTCTGGAGTCAGATTTACATGGTAATATGTGCAAGAAATGAATAATACTGCTCAGTGAACACAAAAGCTATTTTAAACACATCTGGGTTTTTTTAATGCAGATGTATGTCAAATAGATGTACCAGTATCTTTGGTTGAAGCAGAGCACAGGCTTGATTTCCTATCTTTTCCTCTTAGAAAAGCTGCACACACATACAAAAAGACAAAAAGCCAGAAAGAACTGAGGCATTGCCACATATTTGTTCACCTGTAGCTGTGTGAGTCTGTGAAATTGGATATATCCTTTCCATTCCCAGTGCAGAATTCAATCGCTTCTCCCTCTGTAGTGGATACACCACTTTAGTAATGGCATTGTTGATCCTCCTCCATTCCAATATCAGCCCTGGCAATGGGTGAAGTGTCTTCAATTTCTCCAAAACATCCTTGTGGGAAGAAAAGGGCACAACTAATCAACAGCCTTTAAAACTTTATTTGTTAAATTTTTGCAGTTCTGCAGGAAAAAGTTACTCCTTCACCCACAGTGAGCTTCCAGTGTCACTGCCTTAAAATTAAATTGATATCCTCTCCACTTATACCACCTACACCTGGGTAATCAAAGCACCACCTGACATAGCTGCAGCTTTATTACCCACGAGAAGACAATCACTTTGCTTTGGACTTCTACACCCTCGTCACCATTCTTAATCTGCACCAACCAATAAACCACCTGAAGTGATGAAATCACTTGCCATAGGTCCCCTACCTTGTCTCCTCTTGTCCAGCATTAATGCTTCTCCTCCATCTTCTTGCATATTTTCCTCCCTGCTCTCTCCTATCTGTACACTAGGAACACCAAGTGAAGCCCTTGACCACGCTCCTTGAAAGACAAAGCTGATCACTAGCAATCAAATCCTTTCAGTTTAATCAGAAACATAAAAGGACTAACAAGAATTTTGAAAGACAGTAGGATTTCTCAAAATAACATTTTTTTGTGTGTTGCAGGCAGCTGCAGCCTCCTCCCTCCACATCACAAAAGGAGGAAATCCTCCCTTAGCTTCTTGCTCCCTGCTCTGCCACCACAACTGCACCCAATGGCTTCACTGCCACTTGAGTTCCAGAAATCAATACTTGTCTTCCAAGTATAGACTACACTGAACAAGGGGAAACTAAGGAAACAACATAGATTAATGAGTCCTGCAAATAGGAACATATATATCTGCTAATTTCACTTGTCTGGCAAGAGCACCCATTAGCCTGCAGCAGTTGGTATTAATGCAGGCACACAATATTTATCAACTGGCAAGAATGTCAATAGCCTTCACATTATACAAACTTCTGATATACTAAATTTGATAAACCATCAGATTAGCCATTCTGAAGACAAATTCTCTGAAGCAAAAAATACAGATTTGATAGTAGCAGGAAGAGAAAATATTGTATTTAGTCGACATGGTATTTAAATATCTTTCAAGCTGATGTGGAAAAATTCTTCTGCTATTGGCTTTACAAAATTATTGTGCTATTTTGGTCTTACACGTGATTTGGGAAATCAGATTCTGCCTGATTTACTCTTATTGAAGCCTGCTATTTACAGGCATGTCCTCACTGCACTCAAGCTTTAGGAGAGTAGCACTAACTCTGCTAACAGAAGGTAGAACCCAGTTTGAATTTTCAGTGGTAACTGGAGGAGCAAAAGGCAATTAAAATTTACTTTCAGACTAGAAACAGATTTTCCTGTACCTTGGTTGTACTGAACTGCTTGCTTAACCTGACCCTGTTTCCTTTAGCAGTTGCTCTTCTGGTGTAACCCAGGGTTTTCTTGTTCCCTTGGACTTTCACATCTCCATTTTGTGGCAACTTCAGCTCCAGGAACAACACCTGAAAGAGGTCAGCATTTCAAATCAGTTTCTGCATGCTGCTCCCAGGAGAAAACAAAAGCAACTGAGCACTTAAACAGCTTGTTCCAGCCAAAGGATAGTACAAATGCTTCAGGTAATTAAAAAGCTGATTAAAGATCCCAGCTATCAAAGTCATTCCTCCTCATTTTAATTAACTACGAAATGCAATTTAAAATCTCATTTTCTGAACACTCTAAGTTTAAGTTCAGAGGTATGTTTTTAGAAAAGGTAATTAACTCCATCCAATAAGTGAGGTTATTACTGACAGTCAGCTGTAATAAAATGCAATGTTCAGATGACTGAAAGTGGGAAGAACATTGGTGAAAAAAAAAGAAGTGTTAGCAGGGAGCAGGCTTCAGAACAATATGAATGGCACAGAAAGAGGTGGTCACAAATACCTTTTAGAGAATAGCTAGAATATTTGTTTTTCTAACAAATTGCCAAAAACCAGAAAATTAGGCATATGCTCATTTGGTGACAGGCAGAATACAGCTTTTAATTTTTCACTTTATGTTTCCATGTAGGATGATGCACTACTTAGCAGCTATTGTCTTTGATTTCACAGCTGGCAGGAGGGAACAGAAAGCTTTTCTCCTGCCCATTTATGTCAGTAAAACAGAAGTTTTACTGACACAAAACTAGAAGGGTAAAGGGGTAAAGTTCTATTATACCTATTATACAAGGTACTTTGCATAACTGGTAATAAATTTCCACATGAGGTACAAGCTTCTGTAGTTCAGAAAACAGCATTTCAGACAAAACTTTACTTCCCATTTTCCATAGCAGAGAGAAACTGAATTCAAGCATTATTTCAGGAGTTCTAACTTAGACTACTGTTACTGAGCAAGACTTCTACATTTGCAATGAAGAAGGAATATTTCTGTAGAATTAGTTTTACTGATAGCTGCTTGCAGATTTTGACTACTTTCAGATAAAGTCAAGCCCCTCAGTGAGAAAATAGTATATGGAGAAAAAAAAAAAAAAGAGAAGGGAAAGAAAACCATGCACAGCAATTTTAATATATTTCAATTATTCCATACAATGTGCATTAAAAAATGTAAGTGAAATTCTTCAGGAATGAAAGCATTGGTGTTTTACGTAGAAATCTGTTTCTTAGACTTTAAAAAAATATCAGTTCTTAAAAGGTTCTTAAAAGCAGACAGCAGTTGATTCAAAACTTTTAAAGCAGTTTTTTCTCCTTGTTCATGCCTGTACAGGGGCAAGAGTAATAATGCAACTTTTTCAGTACAACTCTTCTTAGACTCAAGACTACGTGACCCCAGATCACATCTCATGTGTTGGACACTGGCATCGCAAAAAAGTTTCTCCAGTCCCATACCACTCATCCAAAATACTCCGTAAAACATTTAATTGGCAGATCATCTCATGCTCCCTGAGAGGCCATGGTCCTTTATAAACCACATGCTTGTTTTCACTTGGTTTTTATTTCCACTTCTACCTTCTTTATGTCTGCTAAAGCTGGCAGAAACCAGAATGATCAGTAAGAATCAGGAGAGACACGGCCTCTTGCAGGCTTCAAGTTCACAATGAATGTGAGGATCAATGAACTCTCAGCAGAGTTGGGTTTGCATTTTGGATTTTCTTCACACCATGAATAACTTTTCTTCTTCCCATGAAGAATTTTTTTTTTTTTTTTTTTTTTTTTTTTTTTTTTTTAGCCAAAGGCCATTGATAATAACTTTTGGGGAAGTTCTCCCCCTCCCACCCCAACGCTCATGTACCTCTGCAATGTCATCAGGGCTGGTCAAGGAGAAGCTGTGCCCTGCCAGCTGATATGCCTTGGTCTCAATCTGGCTCAGTTTAGCCTGCATGACCTGTTTCTGGGTTTCATAGGCTGTTGTGCTGAAACCAATGCCATTCAGCTCCAGCAGAGACAAGCAATAATGGGTGGGCATCTCCACCTTAGAAAATACATCTGTAGTAAGTACAAACCAAAGAAAATCTTTTATAAAACAGATGAACTGCAGATAAACACATTCATTAAAAAAAAAAAAAAAGGAGAATCCTCAGTTTTGAAAATACTGAAATGTTCTCACACACTGAAATCTTTTACTATAGATTTCATTTAAATACTTTTGTTTCTGGAATAAGAAATATTTCATAATAGGATGTTCTTGAACACTTCTTATCACAAAGATATTTAAGAAAACAGCTTCTGCTATTTTTTTTCTAAAAAATACATCTTTCTGTATATCAACATACTATAAACAGCAGACATGCTTAATGTAAGGCTTTCTAACTTGATACACATTAATTCCACCACCCACTTCTTTTTAAAATGTTCTAAGGTTCAACTGTAACAATCATAAATGATGTGATAACTTGCAATAAAATGGTTTAGTGGGATTGAACCACAATCCTCGGCTCTGGATACAATTTAGTGGAAACTATTATAATGACCACCAGTAGTATATTTTGGGGTTTTTTCTTTTTTTTGATGGCTTGTTTTAAAACAGCACAAGCACTCAGCAATTATTAGTGCAAACATACAGGTTTATTCACTATGGAATCACAAGAGTTTCATGGACACAATGCATCCATGATAAATCATGCTATATGGGCAGGCTAAAGAGCAAGAAATCTCCTTCAGAAAACATTTGAGGATTTTAAGAATTAATTCTGACAAGAAAATCCAAAAACTTTTGAAAATGCCTATTAGAAATCAAAGACAGACCCACAAGTCCCTCAGAAGGGCCAGGACACTCACCTGGGAGGTACAAATCTGGTTGATTTAGAGACTTAGAATTACTCTGCTACAGCCTTAACCACTGGAACTGGTGGAGATTTGGGATATAAGAATTATATTTTAAATTTTTTTTCCAAAATGTATATGCTGCTAAGGGAATTTCCTTCTTTCCTTTTAACAAATGAACATTTTGACAGAATATATTTAGACAAGAACTTCCAAACTGCCTCTCTTCTGCACGGATCATTCAGCCTGTGGCAGCACAGCTGTATTTACCCTCCATCTTTGCCCCCAAGTGGAGGATGCCTCTTTACCTGTCAGATTTTCCTTCTGTAATTCCTTGTGGAGTTGGTCCATGACATTGAAGACAAGCACAGACTCTATGGCTGCTCTGTACCGCCCAGACTGGTCTCTGCTGGCACTCAGCCCCAGGCTCTGCACCCCTTGGCCTGTGCCCACCCCTTCCAGGAGGGGCAGCTCACTGGGGAGGAAGTTGGTCACCATGCTGTGAAGGGTATGTTCCTTGGAGCCAGAATCCAGCAGCCAACACGCAACCTTAAAAAGGGAGACATCTATGAGACTATTTTTACCTTTTAGTCATAATTAAATGCAAATATTTAGCCAGGGGTTAATTCAAGGTTATAGTAGATATTATTTTTCTTCATGTGGCAGGTAAACTGAAATAATTTGTTACATTATTTCAGTAAAAACCTTCAGGAAGGCCTAAGTCACTGAAGAGCTTAATTCTTGAGTGAGAATAAAGAGTTATTTCTTTCTAAAAGAAAAATTATTTCTGCGTGTTTGAAAACTTAAACCTCTGTCAAATAAGCACATCTTGAAGTGCCTTTTCACTTATTAAAATTTAACTCAAAGGGAATAAATACAAAAATCAGGATCAAAACATGTTTAATCTGAAAAATTACATTGTAGAGATCAGAACTTGTTATTGATCTCGAATATTAGCCAAGCTGAGCTCTCCTATCTTTTGCAGAACAGGACTAATGCCAAGAATTCTACATGGGATATTTTACTCCTAGTAGAGCTTAAGCCCTCTGCCTTCAAAGCAGATTTATTTATATGTATATTTCAATTTCTTGTGTCAAAACAGGATGAAGCACAGATTTCTACATTGCCCCTGCCATGCAAGCAGAAGTAAAAACTCATATATGGGGTTGGGGAGTGTGTATTCATTGTGTCCCTAAAATGAACCAACATTAGTATGACTATTACATGGTACACTGAAGGGCAAGATGCTTTTACTGCTCTTCAATTTCATCCTAAAACTGTGTCTTGGTATGAAAAAAATCACTGTTTGTCCTTGTGTCAAACACCTTAGCTACTTTCCTGCAGAGCTGGGTATTGCCATGAAGCTGTTCAGCCCATATGCAAAGCAAGCTTTAAAAATCAACAGGATTTTCTGTGCACCCAGAGCTTCTTGTAACACGAGCAACAAGGTGCTTTTACCTCAAGCTAGCTTTTCATGTGAGTTACAGCTGGTACCCAAACCTTTTGAAATTCCATGTAAATTTTCTTTTGTTTTGAGAAAATAGGGGTAGCAAAGTGGTCTGTATGCATAGTGGGTAAATCTTTTGCTTATAAAGTCTTCTGCTCTCAGAAGAAATAATCTGATCAGAAGCACTTGTGACATTACAGTCCCAGGCTTCTTACTGCAACAAAATAGAAATTAAGTCTTGTCCATTGGGACTGGGGAGAGATTTATCTTCATTTCCCCTTCCGAGTAAGGTATGAAATAACAATGTGCTAACCTCTGAAACTCTTTGTTTGTTTCTCTTGCAAGCACCATGAACGTCCTTAAGGACATAGCAAAGCAAATGTCCTTAAAATATTCTTCTAGATTGCCCACTGAAAGAAAACTTCACTAAACTTCCTGACAGATTCATACTAAAATAACAGAAGTACCAGAAGGTACTCCTGTCGTTCCACTGTTGTGTTTAAACCAGTAGTTCCACCCGAGAGAAATTTCTTAATCCTGCAAACCTTTGGGTCCTCAAAACTTCCTTCCAAGGAGATGCCACAAGCCATCAGCAGAGTTTTGTAGTGCTGGATGAAGTCATACATGATCAGTGAGCGCTCCTTCTTGGTCTTCTTCTGCAGGTACTGCTGCAGATGGTTCAGTCTCTCTGTCACGGGTAGGCTTTGGTCCAGAGGTGGGGGTGCCAAACTCAGACTGATTTCTATGGCAAGAAATACAAGCAAAAATCATCTTTTAACCCATTACTTGGTAAAAAGGGAAGAGAAAAATCTTGAATGTAACCACCTAAAGCACAAAAGCTACAGTTGAACTATGAACAAACAATGCATCTATAGCACTATTACATATTTTATCAAACCAGACTAGGCTCCCAAAAGCAAAACACTGTGTCTGTACTAACAAACAAAGGACAGCCAAGAATCAAACTTTAGTCACAAGGTCACTTAGCACAGATTGGGCTATGTTCAGCATTTGAGTGCTAGATTTGTTCTGGAGAGCAAAAATCAGAAGAGATTGAAAGGGAAAAGCAAATTAGATAAAGAGAACTTGGGAGTGAGCAAATGTTTTAGCCATATGCATGCTCACAGACCAGTGTCTGAGCCAGTTACCTGCCCTTATTACACAGTACTATAGATGTATCCACAACAACCTGTCCAAGGCTGTTTAACACCTAAGACTGCTAAATTACTCCACCACACAACTGAGCTGGGGTTGGGACAACCACAGCACTTCCAAGAAACTTACCTGCTGAAGGAACTATTTTGAGATGCAGTATCAAATAACACAGCAGAGTCATCTGCTCACTTACCAGTCTGGTCTTGGGTCTGCTGCAAAGAGATATAGTAGGCATCTTTTCCACCCCAACACACTGCCAGTCCAACTACCAAGATGTCTTCGCATCCTTGGACAGGAAATCCGTCATCCTTAACTTGCAACCGCTGAGGAGAACTCACTAGAGAAATAATTTCAAGTTACTATTATAAAATGGCATCCATAAATACAGAAGATTTGGGATCCTGAAAATACATACAGTTGAGCCTAAAATTGAATATTATCAAGTCTCAGTAAAGCAAAGGAGCTGTGTGTTTGTAGAGGCTGGAGAGTTGGTATCAAGCATTTCCTTGATAGGGCGATAGTAATATTTTTGGTGATAGTAATGAAGTGTTAGCAGCTTGTTGGTATGTGAGAGCATCTGAATATTCTTCTGTGACTGCCTCCAAACCAAGGTTACATATTTTCAAATATTTTCAAAATGTAAACTTGGTTCAATATAAGCACGTGCAAAATTCAGTACGGGCTCTGGTTGTTGCAATATTGCTTCTTTTTTTTCCCCCACAGATGTATTCATATGCTACAGTTTGCTGCTGCTTTTTAAACATATTCTTCCTTTAAAATGACAAGATTAAGCAGTTAGATTCTTTGCTGTCACATTGCCATAACAACAACAGCAACATTTCTTAACTATCAAAATAGATTTTTGACAGGCAAATGTGAAATGCTTTTTAGAGTATAAGGAATAAATACACTTCTATCTCAACTCTTGAAGAGGTTGCTAGAAAAGGCCAGAATTTGAAAGGGATGCTTTATGGGTGGCTTAATCTGAACAGGAGGAAAACCTTATTTACTTTGAGGGTGACAGAACACTGGAGCAGATTGCCCACAGAGGTTGTGGAATCTCCTTCCCTAGAGATATTCAAAAGCTGCCTGCACATGATCCTGTGCACCCTGCTCTACATGAACCAGCTTTAGCAGGAGGGTGGACTAGATAATCTCCAGAGGACCCTTTCAATCCCAAACATTCCATGACTCTGTTGTATCATATTTTATATTATATTTTCCTTTTTTTTTTTTTTTTTTGCGTATTTTTTCCTTCTGTGGGCCTGCTTTAAGCTGAAGATACCACATGCTGTTCACAAAACAATGCACTGGAACAGGAAACTGACCTTTTTTGAATTTGCCACCAATCGTTGATTTGGGAGACAAAAGGCACTTTGTTCTTTCACATGCCACTGAGATGGAGAATCTGCTTTTCTCCTTCCATTCTGCAACAAAAGTCTGGAAAAGTGCTTTGTTGCTTGCTACATCAATAATAGTGAAACTTTCGGCACTTAAGGGAACAAAAGGAAAAACATCCTGAGATAGCTGCAGTGAAAAGCCTTGGTCTACAGTGGAATCATCTTTTATCTCATCTGTCTCAGTTGGGTCTAGACATTCAAGATTGTCCTGGAATGTTTTTACCTGCTGCTCTGCATTGCCCTCACTATTCCGCTGTAGCTGAATCATCTGCCGTTCCTTCTTGCAGGTGACTTGTCCCTTTCTTGCAGATTTCACAGGGAGAGAAACCGAACTTTTTGGAAAATGCTCTTTGGGAGGTGTTGGAGGAATAAACCCATTATTACTATCTAGTGCAGGACAGGATGTTCTGTTGCTTCCCTCTAGCTGAAGAGTTATGCCATCTGTTTTCTGAAGATCCAAGTTTTCCATTTTGTTTTCTTTAACCTTGAAAGAGCTTTTCAAATCCTGGGAAGTGGGCAAAGATTCTGCCTCACAACAATCCAATTCAAAAACTGGATCTGGCTCCTGACTAACAGTAGGAGCAACTAACTCTCCTTTCAAATCAGAACTTGCTGAAGCTGTTTCAATGCCTGAGAGGTTAGGCCATTTGTCCAACACATCCTGCAATCCTGGGCTTAGTTCAAACGAGCATTCAGTCCACACCACTGGATGGGGGTTCTTCTCAAAAGCTTGGTGGCTTCTCTGGAGCTTTTCACCTTGATGTCCTACTAAGTGCTTTGGTCTGGGGTCATTGTTATACGTGACTGAGTTTCTTAATCCTGACTGACCTTGAAATGTAGAAGGAACGTCTTTCAGAAAAGATGGGGAGTTTCCATGGTCTAAAACTTCTGCTATTACATCGGAGGATGCTAAAGACACATTGTTACACTGTGCAGGATTCTCATGTTCTTTCTGATTGTCACTGACATCAAATTTATTCTCAACAGGCCTTGGATTCTGCAAAACACCATCTGGAGGAAGCAAAGCCACAGGGTCCTTTCCATCAGCTTCCATGATGTGAACAGCTGAAAGGTCACTGACATTACTGAAGCTCTCATCAAACAGCAAGCTATTGCTCATGTTTAGGCTTGTGTCAGGGACAGGCTGGGATTCTACTTGTACAACTTGTTCCATACCAAAATGGGAGGCTGCTTTATTCAGGTCTTTAGACACACTTTCCCCTTTCACTGAATTTTGGGTCTGGTAATCTTGTAGAAAACTGTGTAGTTGTGAGTCAGTCATCGAGAAATCGCTTTCTTTAAGGCAAGGTGCAGGTTCTATTTTCTTCACTACAGGTTGTAAATTAAGGCCTCCAGACTCCAAAACTTTATTACTACAGTGCTGAGTTGTGCTTTTTGTAGCGTCATTTGTTGTGATAAGGCTTGGGAAGCTCAGTTTCTTAACTGTTGCAGCCAGCCTTTTATCAGTATCATTCTCAGTCCATAAACTGCTTGGTTTTTCTGATATTTCCTGCTGTGGAATTGCTGCCAGCTCTGAACCTTGTATCCCCTGCTGTCCTGTGATTCCAGCTGTTCCCTCCTGTTTTATTATCATCTCAGTTTGAGTATCCAAGTGGATGCTGTCTTCAAAGTCTCTAGAGTCAGAAAACAGATGAGAGGCTGGATCATTCTGAACACCATCTGCATTGCAAACACCTCTGGATTTTACTAAAGACCCTTTCAGAAAATCTTTAGAATGACTGTTGCCATGCTGCATTGTTCCAGCTTGTGACAATATTCCATCAGGCTTTTTGCTCCCATTTTTGCCAGCATTCTGAATCTGAATATCACAGGTTTTCTCTTCACCAGGACAAAAATGCTTATCAATCCTCACCTCAGCACAGCTTTCATCTGTTTGAGTTTTATTACTTTTATTCTGCTTAACATCAGTTTTATCAGTTCTCTGTGTCCTAGCACTACCAGGTATTCCTCTACTTCCCACACTACTGTGCGTCTCCACACTGGTGTGTGGAGTACACTTCAGCATAACAGGTGCCTGAAAACCTGCTCTCCCCTTAGGCATGCCTTCATTAGTGGTGGAAGGCTCTGTAAATAATCCTTCTATTTCATCTTTCTTCCCAATCTTAACTTCTCTCATCTGTAAAGAAATTAAGACTTTATGAGTTACAGAATCTGTTTCCATAAGTTCCTTATTATTTTGGTTTGAAACAGAATTATCTGTAGAGATGGTGGTGCAGGAAATAGGCAGCTTTTGTATGTCTATGCTAAACTTATTTGAATCTTCAATAAGTGACCCCTGCAATTTTGAAGCGGTATTTTTGTTCCTAGTCCGATTTAAATGTGTATCTGTGCTTTTAATCAATCTAGAGGCTGAAGACTTTGTTCTCAATGTTGGTGTTTTTCCCTGTTCAGTAAGATGCTCTTGGATTGCTGTTCTGGAATCCGTCTTGGTTTTGACCAGAGAAATTTCTTCGACGTTTTCATTTCCTCTGCACACATTTGGCCGTTTTCTAGCACTGTACACGAGATTACCCTCACCTCCCTCTGCTTGAGCCTGTTTCCTGCCCAGGACTTCACTCTCAAATACAGAGCTTTCTGTGCTACTGCTTAGTCGCCTTTTACATCCCTTTTTAATATTTGATAAGTTTCCAATCTGAGAACCAAGGCCATTACAGTGTTGAACTCTGCACCCTTTTTTGTTTAACACCCTTGAAGACTCAGCAGACTCCTCTCCATCTGATCTATGCAGTCTGTCTTCCAGTTCTGATTCACTGCTGATCACAGAGGATGTATCAGTCTCAAGAAAAGACTCTGGGTTCCACTGCACTCCCATCAGTGCCAAATCCTGCTGCAGAAGTCTCCTGGCTTCCTCCACAATGACAGAGGCTGCTTCCCTTTCAGTGAAGCCCTTCATTCCAGCCATCCAGATGCTGCGCACAGCCCGGCGCTCCTCTGCTGCCTCCTCATCCTCATCCACAGCCCTACGAACACTGTGGGGCAGGTAACAGACACATGTAAACATCCATGAAGAACATAACAAACAACACAAGGAGCTGGCACTATTCTCTTCTGTTCCCATGCCAACTGTCTTCACAGCTTCCTTTACAGAAGCACTCTTCGTAAAATATAATGCACTTGATGGGAAATAACTTAATTGGAAATAACTATTTCTAAATATGAATAGATGTTGGTGAAAGATATTACTGGCTGCATACCCCAAAAGCATTTCCAGATTTCTGTGTTCCAATGTACCCCAGATAAGTCCCAATTCCCAGCTAGGGCAAGATGCAGGTCTCAATGAATCATCCTCCATGCACTGTTTTCCAAAGTAAGGAAACTTCAAGAGCATGAACTAGACAGGTATCATGGCACAGTCCAACAGGTACTTGATCAAGGAAACTTTTTACTGCACTAACATATAAATCACAAGAGAATACCAAAAGATAATCAGAAATAAATCACCAACTACGTTGAACATAATGGTGAAGCTGCCTTTTAAAGGCAGCAAAAACTCCCCAGAAAGCACTGACAATTTACCCAGGACTAAACAGTGCATTGAAAAGAGCAATAAGAAGAAAATTTAGGTGTCAAAACCTTATTTTGTAAATACAAGGTGCTTCTATTAATTTCAGAATAATAATGGAAAAACTGTGATCAGTCTTAGACACAAGTTATGTCTAATTAATATTTGACACAAAGTTCTGAAGGGTTACCACATTTTATTGCAAGTTTCATCCTGTATCTCTTCACCTTACAAACTCCTTTACTGACTTCTGGACTTCCTGATTTCTCACCTTTTAAATGGCACTGAGTTCTTCAGAGCAGCTGCCACGTCGCCAGGACTGGCTTTAGCGAGATCAGCCACGGTGACAAAGCCAGCGCTGTAAAGTGTCCTGGCACGCTGGGCATTCAGCAGGGACACTCGGACCAGGTCACAGAGCTCCCTGTGTACCCCAAAAGTGAGGCGGCTCTGGAACTGAGAGAGCAACAGCTCCATGTTGTGCCAGCCCAGTCGATTACAGAAAACCGTTACCATGCCTGGAACACAAAAGTTACATTAATGTCTGAACTTCAGCTCCAGTTCTACTAAGGTGGATTCACTCCCCACCCCCCAGTCTTAATCAGCACTCACTTTACATTTCTCACCTTCCGATTATTTACAGAAACTAACTCATGTTTATCACAACTATGAGTAGGAGCTAGTCTTGCAGAACTCAATCTGCAATTAACTAGTTAATCAGCGAGGCAGAAATTCTGAATGACACTATTTTTTTCAAAGATGCTAATACTGAAAGTTTGAAGCACATGCATATCTTGAAAAAAGAGTCCTACGAAACAATCATACTGAAAAAAAAGGCAAAGGAAAAAGTAGAGATGAGAGTCATTAAGGGAAGCCACAGATCTTTGCAGAAATCCAGTGCTGACATCCATAAAAGTAGATCTTGGCCTGCAGGATTTCAGTTACTGAGAGCATTATAGGAGGTAGCAAATCCTATTATAAAGGTTACAACTGCAGTCCTCAGTGCATGGGAGAAGGAAAAGAGCACAGGAAAGAGTTTCTTACTCAGATTGCATCTACAGACTATGAAAACCATCCTTCACTAATTTTACAGTGATTATAGAATACAGCTTTTATCATATACCTAAACTACTTCATATCAATAGTTCATTTTACTTCCCAGATTATTCCTGTGACAACTATTAACACTGGAAATAAAGAATTATGAAACTGCTACAAAGTTATTTATACTGAAAAATTATTTATACTACCAGAATTAAATTAAAGTACTCTGCATCAGTTGGCGTGACCTTTTCATTTTGGGGCTTTGACTCATGCTGCAGCCCACACAGAGGGTTTTGCAAGTCGAGCTAAAACTGTCTTAAAAGCTGAAAACCCACTTATGGAGTAATGAAGGATTTAGGCAACAGAAAAAAATATCTCAGTCACTGGTGGGCTGTTCCTTCTACTCCCACACAGCCCTCTTAGGGAAGTTAAAGGCAGCAGCTGTCTGACCTCCTGTGATCTGGTGATAAATGACCCAGAAGCCACTCACTCTGTTTTGAAAACTTAACCATATACCTTTTGGCCAATTAATTTTGCATTCAGAATCAAGCCGTGTCCCATTTTAGAGGCTCCAAACTTTACTCAATGCTGAAAAGTATTCTTTCCTCATAGAGCAAAGCTTTATAAGGGACTTGCACTTATTTCCATTCTTAGTATTGAACAAGCTATGTTCCTGCACAGCACACAGCTGATTTCCACAGACCTCAGCAGCTGCACCCTGCTTGATTCCCCTCAGCTGGTCCCCTTCCCACTGCACACTCTGAGGTTCCACAGCAGGGGCAACCAGAGATTAAGCTATAAATCCATAAGTGGTTTCACGAGGCTGTTCGCTGTTAGTACCACACTGTGGCTATTTTAGCCCCAAATGGGGAAGAACAAAAAAAACCCAAACAGACTACCTAAGATTCTTGGGGTATTTTTCTCAGACAACTCACCTGCGTAAGTGGCAGCAGATTGCTGCAAGGATTGAAGCTGACCACGATTACAGCCATATTTCTTGGTCATATCTTGTAAAGGAACCTCGCTGATTAAATCCAGAAGGGCAAGGCTGGTGAAAAACCTGTTGATGAAGTACATGAAGAAACAAAATTGTCATCCAGGGCACATTATCCAGGGCAAAATGTGCTGTGATACGTAGGACAGAACAGTACTACACTATAGCACACAAAAGAAACAGACAGATGGCTTCTAAAAACATCAGCACAAACATCTTGTGCCTCCAGTGTTCTTGGACCAGAACAGACTGGTCCAGGTTCTCTGACCTATCAGCTCACTCAGAAAAAGAGCCAGTTCCTGAAAATGACAGAGCCTGTGCATTCCAAATATTATAGCCTCTAATCTCTGCACTTTCACACCCAGATTCTGTGGCTACCTTTTGTGAATGGCCATTTGTCTGTGCTGTTTCTCTGTTTTAGCTGTGATTTTGCCCTTTACAGAGCGAGCTAGAAAGCCTTCTTCAATCCCCACCAGCTCAGCCACACGTTTCATTGAGGCAGGCAGCTTCTCCCATAAGCAGAAAAACTGGTACCAATCAATTGTGGTCCACTCCTCATACACTGGGGTGACCTAAAAAAATAACACAATGCAAAAAAACTGTTTCAGAGAAATAAACAGAACTAAACAGAGTTTTGGGTAAACAAAACTACAACCTAGAGAATGTGGTTAGAGCATCCTACGCACTACGTAACGGCACTGAGTCACAGGCGTGCACCATGAAGAAAGTAAAAGCTCTTCTAATCCAGTTTCTTTAATACTTGTACTGATGAGATCTGACTCATAGGGGTACTCCAATGATTAAACCATTTAGAATCTTTGTCAGATTATTCTTTAAATCCAAGCCACTAAACAATTTTAAGCTGTATCTTGTCCTTGAAGAAAACAAAATTGTAGATATATGTTAACATAATTTACATATATCTATCAACTTTTTAAAACCATGAGTAACCACACTAACCACAACCACAGCATCTGAGAAAGCAGGAAGGACACAGATTTTGCCAGAACATGCTGAAGCATTCGTTTACCTGGAGTACAAAAAAATCTCAACTTTTATTAACACTCACAAAAAGCCCTCCAGAATTTTTTAAAATGTTTTTTAGATATACAACCAATTCTGTTAATGTTTAATCAGCTCAGAGTCAGTTCCTCTATGAGAAGACAAAATGTCTTCATACCTTTATCAATACAAAGCAAGATTAATTATTTTGAAAGAACTAAGAGTTGCTTGGCACAAATGTTAACTGGCACAGCATACGAGATGTCTATGTGGTTGTAAATCATCCATGTCTCTTCTTCTGCTGAGAAGAACAAGTTATTAAGATGGGGGGTTTTCTTTTGTTGTTTATTGGGCTTTTGTTGTGATTTGGTTTTTTTTTTTTTCTTTAAAGAAAACTATTTTCCTAGTCTAGAAAATTCTTATTTGTTTTAATCAACTTCCCTAGAATACAAGGGCTTGGAATTCAGTCTCATATTTGTATAAGTAAAAGATGCAAGCTTAAAAGAATTAAAAAGCATTTTAACAGATAAAATCCCTGTAGCCCAAAAGGAACACATGAAGAACAATACTTAAAAAAACTAAAAAAGCAACAGAATGAAATAAACCTTTGGCCTTGAAAATGAACAGACTTGCAAGACAGTGTTTTAGAGTAGCTTAACAGAAGAGACTCTCAAGAACATTTTGTTCAATGGTGTATGATTTAAAATAACCTTAGACAAGCTGCTGCAATTAAAAAGTACAGCATAAAAAACATTATGCTATCACTGCCTCTACCCCAGAACAGGAAAAAATTTCAGCCTTTTTTTCCTGTTTTGAACATGCAAACAGGGAAAAATTCACTGATGCATAACACAAAGTTCATTTTACCTGGCAGAAATAGAATAAAATACAATGTGGTCCTCTAAAAAAAAAACAATGAGTACATATGGGACAGCAGCAGATCCAAAAAAAAAAATCTATCAGTGTTAGCCCATTACTAGGTTATTGAATTCACCAAGCAGAGACAAGTACCCTCAGACTCTTGCCTGCTCCTCTCTCCCAGCTCAACAAGCTTTGTGACTGCAAGCACATTCCTCTTGAAGTGAACTTTCTTTTCAGACAAGACTCCCAAATTCTGCCTTTGATTTATCATCCTGGTAAAGAGAATACACCTTACCCTTAAAGAAGGCTAAAGCTGAGTGTCAGATTTCAGCTGATGATTGCATGATGGGCCCCTGGCAGCCATGAATCCCAAGTTGTTCAGTGCAACTCCATCTGGTTTCCTCACTAAGCTTCACAAGTTCATGGCTTCCTCTCCCAAGGTCTTAAACAGCAGTGCTTAGCTTTTCAAGTCTATGTGCTCATAAATCTTGACACACTCTGGGACACTTTTCCCTTATAAGATTTATCACACTCCTTCCTTTAGCCCTGGCAGCCTCACCAGGCAAGTAAACTAAATCAGGGATGGGATTAATTTCACTATAACTGAATCAAAGAAAGGCCCACCCACAGAAAGAAAGTAGTGTGGTTCTTTGAGGCTTTTTGGAAGCAAAACAGATACTAAAAGCCCAACCTTTTTTCTGTGCCTCCAAAAGTAATATGAAATTAAGCCTGCTGATCCCAAACACACATACAAAATTTAATTTGTTTCATCAACTTCAAGTGTCTCAGAAAAACTACCATTATTTTATGCTCAAAACTTATTAAATTCTGAAATCGTAGTAAGTCAAGGGTGACAGCAATGGGGTTAAACAGCATGCAGCACCTGCCTACACAATAGACACTATGGTAGCACACTCATTCTGAAGAACCTGCTATTTAGAAACTTTACTTCATGAAGGATAAACCAAGCAAAGCACAGAAAAACCCAAACCTATGTCCATGGAGCCATCAGGAACTTTGCATTGTGCTGTCTCCCCTTAGCTTTGGTAGTAGAAAATACTAGAAAATACAAGAGACAGAATGAGGAACCTACCAAATAGACAATATGCAGATCATTCTCCAGAACAAAGCTTTTCATTGCTCGCTGCAGGTCAGCAAAGATTTCCAGAGCTTCAGTTGGTGAAAGAGAAGAGGAAAGAGTAGCTGAGCCAAGATGTGTTGGGTGATAAACCTTTGCTGTTAAAAAAAAATATATATTACACAAAGAAACATTTAAGTGTAAGTTTATAATAATTTTCAGCTTGTGCTGCATTTCAGAGATTTCTAACTTTTCACAGCTGCTCTTTCAATAAGAAATAGTCTATGTCTCCATTCTGAAGACAGAAAAATGGAAACAATAACAGGCTTAGCCTGGTTTATGGTTAAACTTTTCTCTTTAGAAAGACAAAATTTACAGTCTGCAGTTAATATGCACCAAAACTGTGGTTAAAGTTGGCTTTCTTTAAAGATATTTTGGGAATTTTTAGACTGCGATACATCAGTCTTAGAGGTGATGTGCAAGTGATGTGATGCACCTTCTAAGAGCATGTGGATGCAAAATATGTTAAAACAGGTGTAAAGATACCTTCCAGAAGGCTAGAATATTCCTGATACACAATACTTTAAAATAAAATTTTTAAAAATGCTGGGAAGTCCTTACTATTAATTTACATTGAACATCTACTTCGTTAGCAAATCAAAAGTGGGAGAAACACCAACTTTACCTTTCACATCATTGTCAGAGTCCACAACCTGAATGAATTCATTTTCCAGCAGCCATGCCACACAAGCCTCAATAGGTCCAGCCCGTGCCTTGTCTTCCTCTTTCCCATTTTCCCACTTGCTTTCTTTCAAGCTGGATGCAAGCAGAGTGCAAGAGGCATAGGTCTGCACATCCTCTGGAGTGTTGGCTACTCCCCCCACTATGATCTGTTGAAGAAAACTACCTGTTGATATTGCCAGAGATGCAGTAGGACAGAACACCACATCACAGAATCAAAGAGAGTGATCCATCATCTCCGTTTTAAAGAACCATTCTCCCAGAGAGGGAAATATGAGGCAAAGCAATAGCAACTTTTTTAAAGTTTTTAAAATACTTTCTTGGCAAGAAGTCAATCATCCTGGGTAGAAGTAAGAGGACTAAGCTATGGAAAAGAATGATTAACAAAATCTTATTTTGAAAGTGAACATACACATAGCAGCAATTTAGATTTGAGACTAGCTTTAGGCATTTTTCTTAGCCAGCGCTGTGAAATATTAATGTTAGAACACAAGCTGCAAATTTGTGAATACACAAAGCAAACCATGAAAGTGGAGTTCTTAGAAGGCTATTCAGCATACTGAAGGTTTCCTCTTAATAAATATGATTTCTATACCCCACCATTGCTTTCCTGATTGAGAGTGATTTTGTTCACCTTGAATTTTGGTTTTGCTTTAAAGGATAGCTCTTATGTAGAAAAATACATTTAGAAATTCCATTGGTCTGCTAAAATTCAAAATCTGTGGAAGTACAACAAAGTTCCAACCATCACAAAAGTTTTCAAAAGACAGTAAAGTATAGCAAACAAATTCTATATAAAGAGTCCTGTATCTAATCCAAGTTCAAGTCCAAAAGTAACTTTGGAAAAGGACATAAGCTCACCTAGGTGAAATAAAATCCTTTTGGTCCTTTTTACTCCTATAGGAACCCTACAGAGGAGGGAGCAAATTGGATGCCACAATTGGATGTTTGCTTACCAAAAATGTATTCACAAAATTGCAATCATTCCTGTGCAGAAGAGGTAGGTAAGTTGAGGGGGTAAATAAGAGATCCTCCCAGGTTCCACAAATGTCATTATGGCCCAATTCAGCCTACAAAGCCGCTAGGCTCAGTAATTTACAAACATCCTCCAGCTAAGAATGTCAGGTCACACCTAAAGTTTAACAACTACACTTAGTTCTGCCTGCCGCTCAAGTACATCTAAACACAATAGCAAAACTTCTTTGAGTGTGCTCACATCCCAGTCTTCAGCAAGAAGAGAAACATCCTAGACAAAATGCTGAATACTGAAGCAAGCTGGCAGAGCCAAATAAATTATTGGGTTGACAAAGGAGGAAACACATGAAAAAGAAGTGCACAGAAAACATTTGGTGGTGTCACAGAAGAAACCATCCTAAGGGTCCAAGCACAGTTCTAATCCCTGAAGGTCCTGTACCTCAAGTATTGCTCTTTTCATGCTAGAAGCAACACCTTCCCCTTCTCTTCTCAGCAAGCAGCTGCAAACGGGCTTGAGAGATCCCTGAAGTAGAGCAGCACCTTTTGATCTCTCTGAGGGCTTGCAGACTAAAATGCTCTCACCTATTGGAGAAGAAAAGAAAAACAAAACAAATACAAAAACAATTACTTTAGTACTGCATTTTAGCACTGTTACAGATGCACACAGTTCACCAAAGACATACTACTGGAATGGGAAACCATAAATATTTTTTTAAAGGTGAGTAACAAAATAAGATAAAAAAATGTGCAACCTTAAACAGTGTGTATGAATTGCTATGGAAGAGCTGCACAGATGCCCAGTACATCAAAACGAAGGCAGAGCCAGCTTCAAAGTTACATTAAGCTAGTCTGGGTCTTGCCAAGACATCTAAGGAGATTCCACAGCCTCTACATGCATCTGCTTTGCTGGTGAACCACTCTTGCTTCTTGTTCTGGAGTTGACTGGAACTGTAATATACAGTGGCAACTATTTGACTTTTTCATTACATTAATAAGCTGAAAAAATTCTCAAAAGTAAGAAGAAAACATAAAAGCTGCACAGTATTTTGACAGTTTATATTAAGTCAACCAGCTTTCACACCAGAAATAACTAATTCAGAAATCCAAAATGACTGATCTAAGTAACTATGCATCCTCTGAACTTTCATATATACATTTATGTACACATACACCTAAGTATCCTGCATGGTTTCCACTGGAAGTACATCTCAACATATCCTACAGTAAAATTCTCTGTCAGACATTGTTCAGTTAATCTCTAACTACTGAAACTCTGTGGGAGACAAAAAAGGTCCCAGAGCCACGAAAGAAAAAGGAAAATAGTGGGTAAATTCCTTTAATGAGATCAGAGTACTAAGGCAAGGGGGTTAGAAATTAAAAGGTTATTGATTAAGGATAGCTGTTTAAGCATGTATATTGTTTAACATCTACTGTGCTTGCGAAGACAGCATGCCTGTGAGGACAGGATGAGAGAATGCAAGGATATTTTGATAAGGAAGGAACTGCTTCCCAAAGCAGGAGGGAAAGAATGCCAGACTCGCAAGGCTGTTGAGAGAAGAAAGGCTCCTTGGACTCCCAGAAAAGCCTAGACCAGCCTTGCAGTTTGAACTGCAACCAAGAGACCAGGGAGCAGGCGCAAGGAGACAAGGTGAGAAGTTCACCCCAAGGAAGACGTTGGAAAGCTCGTTTGCTTCCTCCAATGCAACCGCCTGAGCACTGCACGAGCACAGAGGACTGATAAGCCAATCATAGCACCAAACAGGGCTGGGTGGGGCTAGGAAATGAATAGGTTTGGATGTATTTCGAAACTCGACGCACACGTAGCATTTCAGGGAATAAAGAGAGGGTTAAGCTCTTCGGAAAGCGCGCGTCTTCGGAGGAGTTATCCCTGACGTGCCTCAGCACTAAACAAACACACACCTATACTTGGCAACTTTTACCAGTTGTGGAGTTTTTCCCTGTATCAGTACAGCTTAACCATGGAAAACACAGTGGTCACATAAAGGATATTTTTTCCACAAAGCTATTAGAGAGAAATTGAATCACTGGAAGACCTTAGCTAGTTGCAAGCTTTGCCAGCTGGCACAGGATAAATGAATTATGGGTAGGACACATTTGCCTTTGACTAAGAGGAGAACACTGGTTTTGGATTAGCTGTACATTAAATATCATGATAGATTTATGATAACTTGGTAAGATTTAAATGCATGTGGTCTGGACACAAGGTAATTTTGGTACTGGGTATCTTAGTACGATCCTAGGAATGTTAACTTAGGATAAGATTGTAGCTGTGGAAATGCTACAGTAATTAGCAAATCCAGAAGTAATGAAAACACAAGTGCACTTAAATTTAATAAACAGAATAAATAAATGCAGTGTAGGCAAGTAACGAAATACAGCTTAAATATAATTACATAAATTAACTACAGGATGAAATGATGTTCAGAGGATGTATCTTCAATTTTTTTAATCCTGCCAGGTGACAATTTTGATATCAGTTGATCACATACTTTTGACAGAACTGGGGAGTAGGTAAGATAAACTGCCTGTAAAGCATTGTTTTGTGAAAGAAAAGCTTATCTTTATTTTAGCATTAAAGAACATCTATTCATTTTGTATTTGAGTTCTGATGTGACCTGAAATTTCCTCTGAAAACTTCATTTTGTCTCTGTCCTGGTTTAGGGCAAATTTGGGAGAAAACCTCCATAAGGAGCCCCCCAGAAAGCAAACCCCCACAGCCCCTCCCCTACCTGGTTCAGGAAGAATTTCCTCGGAAAGAAGTGGAAAAAAACCTGTTTATTTAACAGGCAAAGCACTCCCCAACACAAAAAAAATGAACAACACTAGATGACAAAACTCTTTCACTTTCTGAAGAGATGACAAATTCAGAAAGTCTCTCCTGGGAGTGGTTGCTCTGTTACTGGTCCCTCCGGCTCTGGGAATGGCTGCTGCAGGCTACAAAGGGCAAACTCTCGGTGTTTCCCAGGTCCCAGTCTGGAGCAGGTTCAAATGGTTCCAAGAAAAGGGAAAGACAGACAGTCCAGGGAAAATTCGGACTGCCAAGCTAAACTAACTAACAAGTAAAAGCAAAAGCAGGAGCAAAAGCAAAAGTAAAAGCAAAAGCAGGAGCAAGAGCAAAAGCAAAAGCAGAAGCAAAAGTAAAAGCAGGAGCAGGAGCATCACTATGTACTGTTGTCTGTGTCCAGCAGACTGTGGGGGAGTGAGAAGGCTAAAAACAAAACAAAACTTCGCTTTTCAGAGCCAGTCTTGAAGGCACAGAACATAATACCCAGCATAAACAGGACAGACGACTGGGGATACAAGCATCATAACATCACCCTAGGACACACTTTCAGAGTGATGTATCTAAAAGAAAATCTAACAGGAGATGGGTATCCACTTAGCTCTACATTATCTGACAGTTTTACAAGAGTTCAGGGATATTCTTTTCCAAGATGCCACCGATAATACAAAGCTAATAATTGCAATCTAGTAAACAATAAATTTTAAAAAAGGAATTGAGCTGTTTCAATATCCATTATTGAACATTTCAGATACCAGAGGAGGTCCAGGTTAGCATCAGACTAGACAAACACCAGAAGACTCTGGATATCTAGGCAAAAAACTCCATTCAAACTAAACAAAGCTAAACTAAATTCTAGGGTTTATTCAGCTTTACCTATTTCTCCTTGGGAAAATGGTAGTATTGGTGAATGCAAAAAGAAACACATTTCACTCCCCAAAATAATATTTTTAAATTTCTATCAATTCAATAAAAATAAATTAAAAATCCAAAATGTAAGACAATCCAAAACTACATTGCTGGGAGAGGAGGAGGAATTCAACCCAACAGCATCTCTCTTCTGTCTGTCAGCTAAATTTCATATCCACATTATGATTAACTTTTTCCAGCTGAAGTTGCTGTCCTCCAGTCTCCCTACTCTGTGACAGAGTAGCAGCTGGCAACATAGCTTTATGTTCTCATCCAAAAGACTCTGTGAAGTGGAAAAAAATGGTACATTCATGAAGCTCATCAGCATAAAATCAACTGCTTACACATCAGAACTGTCACATCAGAACTGTCAAAAAGGGTACTAATTATTGTAACTTGAAGGAGAAAAAGAAGAAACTTCAAGGAATAATGTAATTTTACACCTGCCTGCTACAGTCAAATGAGAAAGTCTGGAAAATTTCAAAATCCAGCCTGCAGCTGCCCTTTCCTTGAACGCACAGGGAGAGCTTGCGGAGATATAGGTCACAAAATGCTCTGTTGCTATGCTACTCAGGCAAAAATAGAAAGCTAAATGTAAGAACAGCCTGCTTACACAGGGCTCCAGCAAGCACCAATCAAACAATCAGGAGGGCAAATCACACTTCCTGCATCTGTTGAACTTCTTCTTTTCTACCATGTTTATACTTGTGTAATGCGGCTTTTTGCAAACATCGTCTACAAAGATAAATTTCCATTGCAAATTAAAATAACAGGCAGGATTATTTTGTCGAACATCAATCAATGCCTCTGTATGCAAGAAGGTGCCATATTATCTGTGAACTACTGTTCATATTTCCCTGTCTCTGTCTCATTACTACTTTCAAGATCCATAAAATTGATGGTTAAGTTTAATAAATCTAAATCATAATTTCAGACATTTTAGGCCCATATGACGAAAGTTTACTGCAATTTTTCTCACTGAAACTCTAAATGTTTTAGTCAACTGACCATGGATCACAGAATTAAGGCAAATGAACAACACAGCCTTAGAAGCTAACAAGAATTCAAAGGCAAAAATAGCCTGTTCCTGAAGAAAGTGACATATAAATACCAAAGTCAGTCTCAGGCAGTGAAAACAATCCCCTGGGAATTACAACTTTTACTCCATTAATACCAAACAAATTAATACCGAACAAATTCATCTTGATTAACCTAATCACACAGTGTACCGAAGGAATTCATCATGATTAGTCACTAATTGCAAAGTACTGCCCTGGATTTAATCAGGTTAACACCGCTCTGACAGAATGCCAGTAAAGACTCGGCTTACCCTCTGTGTCTACCCCTTTCCTGCCAGCCCTTCCAGCCATCTGCTTGTAGGTGAGGATGTCCAGCAGCCTGCCACCGAAGGTGGGCGTGCGGATGATGACGCGGCGCGCGGGCAGGTTCACTCCCGACGAGAGCGTGGAGGTCGCTGCCAGGACTCGGATCAGGCCCCGCCGAAAGGCTCCCTCAATGATGTCCCGCTCGTCGAAAGTCAGACCTGAGGAGACGTGGCTTTTAGTGACCCTTGTGATGGTGAGACTGAATGTAAGAGCTGAAAATATTGCTGTCCAGCAAGGGAAGAATAAACATAATGGACATTCACCAGTCAGTGTTAGGAACCAGACTTGCAACACTGCCTTAGTTAACTTCTGACTGCTAAATTAAGCAAAATTTCACCATTAAGTTTTTATTATCAGCTGACAGTGAGATACTAGCTTTTCTAAGGTGCTTGTACACGTTGTAGCAAGATGAACTATTTACTGCATATTTACAAGCACGGCAAGTAAATACATAAAGAAATAAAATTAAAAATGAGCAAACAGTAGGGAACTAGGACTTACTCATCTGCCATCCTGACCATGGACTCCTTCTTCATTATTCTCATTACAGGTCTTGTATGTATCTTTCTACATTACCTTCAAGGCTTCAGGCCAATTTTATAAGAAATACAGATTCTATAAGCATTTGGAATTATTCCTCCTACATAATCAATGCCATAGCTACTGTTGTCTCTCCCAGTCTTTTCTCTCAGTGAATCAACAGGTAACATGCTCTATTACCTACCTAAGTAAGAAATAAAAAATCCAAGCAGAAGTGTTCACAAAACATGCTGCTTTTATTTTTATTGTTATACTGCCTCTATTTACCCATTTATTTCTATAGTAAGCTGAGGAAAATTGCTTTGAAATACTCTGGCTGCTTCAGGAACAACTCGAAAATGCTAGAGCTGTAAATCACTTAAGTTTTCAGGCATTTCACAAAGAAAAGACCAGATAAGTTGTATTCCAAAAGTTGCTGTTATCCAACATAACAGAGAGAAGATTTAGCAAAACCATTTGCGAATTAAAGTCTTCCACCACAAAAAAAGAATTTCAAATTTGCCTGTAACTATGGAATTCTCAAAGCTTATTTAGTCATAAGCTACAAAACACTTAAAAAAGCAACTAGTAAATTGCTGATACATGCAGTAAAAAGGACCCATATGACTTAACCATTACTGAATTCAAGACCGAGATATTCAGGAATACCTGCATGATGAAATGCCACCCCCCATGGCAAAGTACGCTGGAGCACAGAGTCCAGGCCTGAAATGGAACGCTTTAACTGATCCAGGACCTCATCGATCCCTTCTCTGTCCACAACAACTGGAGCAAGGGCTGAGTTTTTTGCAGAACCTTGAGAAAGAAAGTATTTTTATAGTTCCTACTAAAATTCATTTTCATTAAAGGCACCGTGCATACTGTAGTCTTCTATTAAGTACTTCTCTCTTACTCTCAGTTTGTTGCAAACCGTAGAACTCCCTGGCAATGATGTCTGCCAGCTTTTCACACCAGTTCTTGGATGGACAGAAGAGCAGGACTGAATGGCCACCACAAACAGTCTCATAACACAGGCTCACAATATGGTCTTCATCTCCCTGAATTGAGATAAAATATTTTCAGTCCACTCTCAGATTAGATGAGGTCTCAGATTAAATGCTGTCTTTCTGTATCGCAGTAGAAATCTTCTACTTCCAATCAGAAAGAGAAGCAAACACAGAACATGGAGGACTGTTATCTTAGTTTCTGTCTTGCTTTATGAAGTCCAAGCACTAGTATGACCACGTTGTTGAGGGCAATTCTTGACCTACCCATGAATACATGTTATGTTTTACATCTAGCTTTCAGAAATCTTTTTCTGAATGAAGGCCACAAAGTGCACAAATAAATCACTGCAACCTCCACATCGCAGCTAACAGCAGTGGGGAAGAACTAGGAAGAGCCCCAAAGGAAAATCCTTCTACTTTACCCAGGGAACATTTGTTAACTTGGATGTCTGAACTAAAAACGTGGCAGGTAGCAGTCTAAGCATCCCAGTAAGAGGCACTCAAGCAAGCGCTGCTGACCAAAGACTGCAGGCATTCAGAGCACAGTGGAAAGCTTTTAGGGATACTTATACAGATGTTCATGCAAAAACCTGCTGTTTACAGCTTGCTTTTTTGTTTTTAAGATCTTAAGAGAGTCCCTGCAATTGATCTGTTATGCTTGGCTATGCCAGATTCTCTTGTAGCAAGCAGGCCAAAGGAGGAAGAGAAAAATGTAGGCGTACAGCAAGAAATAAAAAGCACTAAAATGCAAATGAAAACAGGGGAGCAATGGCAGGTACTTCTCCACAAGGAATCAGCCAAATTCAGCTGAAGTGGTGAAGTCATCAAGTTCCCTTTTATTGGTTCAGTCTGAGGCACAGAAATCTGAAGGTCTAGTGATAGATTTCAAGCTCAAGATCCCCCAGTCTTATAAAATAAGACAACTCCTTTAAACCATTGAGTCATAAGCCTAGTTTAGTTCTTTCTCTCGCTTAATTTAGTAACTATCCAAAGCAACGGTCTCAAAAATATCCAAATGCAACATCACCTTCTCAATATGACCACATAAAAACTAACTTCCAAATGTTCTAGTGGAAAAACATTTCCTTTTGTTTCCAGGATACATTTTCTTTGCTTTGCCACCATGCTACTGACAAGAGAATGTCCGTGCACAACAAGAACGGAGTGCAAAACACTGCAAAATATTGCTGCCATTCAGTCCATACTGCCCAACTACTACACTAGTATTATACAGAGCAGTTGAAACAACTGGAGACAGAATTTACCCTTCAAAGACTCCACAGAAAAGGACCTACAAGTAGAGAGCTCAAATTTCCCACTTGTACCCATTTGATTCTTTGAAATCATTATAGTATGTTACTCCTAACTTTCCATATTCTTTTCAAGTGTGCAAAAGGACTAACTACTGATAACAGATTCAGAAGAATTGGAATGGACATCTGCCTTCTAATCAGTGTCAAAATTAGATCATTTAGCAGTTTAACATAAGGAAGTTCAACACCAGATTTTAATACAAATACTTTCTCCCAGTTATGAATGCATGGCCTATGCAGGAAGTACTTACCTGCATTTATGAAAGGGAAGTAGATTTCCAGACACAAGATAGAGTAGTGGGTAAGGGGAGAATCAAACTCTTTATACCTGTCAAGTACTCAGAAACAGCATAACTGCAAAGTCAACTTTGTCTTCAAGTCAGATCAAAAATCTTCAATACCTTAATGAGTCTGTATTTTAGGGGATTTTTATTAAAGTCAGGAGAAGACAAAAATACCAATTTTATTCGCAGTTTGAGCATGAATCTATGAAGTAAACAATGAAGTTGTGAATATCATCTATTTAAAAATTAACAAAAAACATACCAGGAGCTGTCTTTTTAACTTCAGCACTGCCACAGGCATTATCCCAAAGCCACTGCTCAGAGTTTTGTTACCTTCAGTTGCAGCTTGGGCTGGAATTCTCGCACTAAATTCATGGAGGAGTCATATATGTTGCTGCCAATTTTCACCCACTCCTTGAGGGGCACAGGGCGGAAATCTGTACAGTAGAGCTCTGCATCTAACCATGAGGCCAGGAGCCCCAGGTTAGGGAGGGTAGCACTCATGCCTACTATCTGTATCCCACCAAAACCAGGACTGGTGCTCTTTGAGTGTCTGGAAGTGGTTAAAAGAGAATAAAAGTTAGTGACAACACAGGCTATTGTTGTGGAAAATGGAATTCAGAAAAAACAACTCAATCTAATTCCTTCCAGCCTCTCAAGTGCAAAGCTAATTTTTCAACTTCTTGACAAAGAAAGAAGCCACATTCTACTCTTAGAAAACATGTCAGGTTATGCACTGATAACAAGATTAATCAGCTTTTAATCAGTTTGAACCTAAACCTTTACCTTCTTTAGGTAGTCAACAGCTATAAATTGACTGTGTATTTGGAGAGACTGAAAACAAATACAAAGATCAACTAGTTCCTTGCCACTAACAAAATCATGGAAATAAAGGAATGGCTCAATCTCCACTGCAATCTTTCTAAGCTTAATTAAAACACTTCTGTTTGTCTCCATTTCAGGATAAATATTAGACTAATGTCTTCCTAGATCTGGGAACCAAAGCCCTAAGCCCAGCAAAGAAGCAAGTAGCTTCTGTTCCTAAAATGCTGAACAGCAGCTTTCACTAAAGACAGTGAGAAGTAATGGACTCCTAACAAACCTGACAATACAAACTGTTAATTTAGATACCCAAATTTAGATTCTAATTCAGGCTTTTGCCTGGATGGGGCATAATAGGGTTTTTTTTTTTTTATGCTTCTAAGCTTGTGTTTGAAAAGTACTCATTTGCATTGCACTGAGCCACAAATCAAGACTTTAAAAAATAAAAAGATCTGACAAATCACTGTGAGCTCAGAAATAAGATGAATCTTCTTAGAAGACCCTGATAATCCTGGCAAAGACAAGACAGAGAAAACAGGATTACCCAGAACCTGTAGTATAAAAGGCCAGTCACTGATGAGACAGAAATAAGGAAGTTGAGAAGAGGTGGACTCTCTGTTATCCAAGCTCTTTAAGCATATGCTAGTACAGCTTCACCATCAAGGTTACAGATTTTTGTCCCTACAGGAACTTTGGACCTTTTCCTCCCTAATGCAACTATTGACCTCCAAGGATTAAAAAAGTTCTAGCTCTACAGTACACTATGTGACTAATGAAGAGAAAAATCTGCTGCAGAATTTTGGCTTAGTTTGGAAAAGCCTCGTGGAGAAACATGGACACCCACACAGGCAGTGGCCATCTGAGAACATTTTCTTGCTGTGAAGACACAGCTTGTACTTCAGTGGGACAGGCACTGATCATTCTGGCCAGACTGGACAGTGTTTAAAGACTTTATATAAGTGCATTAAATAACAGACAGGAAAAAAAACCCCAAAAAAACAGACTTAGAAGGACATTTGAGAGAAAACTTGGTCTTCAGCTCCAGGAATACAGTGGATTCCAAAATAAAATTAGCAGCCACTTCCTTCATGTCAGGAAGTGGTACAGGGTACTACTGTCACCTTGATCCTGACAGAGAGATAGAGAATCTGCATGGTGAAAGATGAAACACTGTGTCTCCCCAGAAATATTCCTTGATGCACCCATACTTTTTTCTCCTGGCAAGTGTTTTCTCCTTCCTGCTTCCTCAATGCAAGGGAGTAAAGCAGAGGGCAAGCCTGCACCTGTGCTGCAGCTACCTGATAAACTAAGAGAAAAGGAGTGGCAAAGTCACTCACACTGCTCCGAAGTGTGCTCCAGGATTTATGGGGAGAATATGAGAAGTCAGCTGTGATTAAACCAAGAACACTGCTGGCTCCTGGAAATCATGATGGGCAGTACTGGGTGAAATGTGCAATGGAGAGACAGTGTAGAAATGGCAGCTCCCCCAGAACTAAATAGATGGTCTCTGCTTAACCCAGCACTGGTACAACTCACAAGACAAGAAGCAGCAGAGAAAACTGACAAAATCTGACTTTCTGTGCTAAGGAAACAGTTGATTTTGACTCTTCTCTCAGCACCACCAATAAAGATTAAGACAGTTCACAGTCCACCACCTCCTCCATTTCCTTTTTTCTGTGTTTGGGCACTATGGAGCAGCTGGATAGTTTAGTGTTGAGGATCTAGATACTGAATTCTTAAAATCTTCTAGAGGTCTTCTCAAACATCTTATCTATTCCCCAGAGTCAAATCAATTCTGCTAAAGGCAAGAAAGCATGCAACCACTAGGCTATCACATGTTAGGAGCAAAAGTAGAGCTCACCCTGAGCAGTGCTAACTAAGCAGACTGATGACATATCCTCTAATCCTTCTGATCAATTCACCATGCACAAGGTAACAGCCTGCCCACTCTTCCATCACACCAGAGCATTCCAGTAGGATAATTACACCACTCCATGAAGCACTGAAAAATTAGGCAGGGCAAATCTGCTAGCAAAACTGTTTATAAAAAATCCAAAGTTAAAAAAAAATAGGCTAAAGAAGTAAATGAAAGCTTTAGCCTTCCTTCTTTTCCTGAGGGGATAAATCCCATGGTAGCACACAAATTGAAAACCATGTGGAAAAGAGGGTTTAAATACAATGGCCGGCTCCTAAAAAGTGCTATGATAAGATCTTAATAAACAAAATAGTCTAGGTCATTACTCTCTTAAAACCCTTGGAGCTAACCCAAGTTTGAATTCACACAGAGAACAAATATTTAGAGTCATCAATTATTTAGCATTAAAAGACAAACATCTCGGTCTACTCACCCTTTTGCTACCTTCTCTGTAACATATCTCACTTTGGTCAGGAGGAGTTCCAGCAGATATCCTCGATGAGAGTCTCCCAACATGTGCAACTCATCCACAACCACCACTCCTGATAAAGAAAAGCACTCAGGTCATATCTGACAAACCTCCAAACTAAGAGCAAATAGCCTTGATCCATTCACATTCCACATGTTGAACAGAAATTTAAATTCACAAATTCATCTTACCAACGCCACGATGGCTTCCTTCTGTCACTGAAAGAGAAATAGTGACCAATGTCATGGCATTTCACACCCACCACAACCACACATACACACACAAAATCAGCTTTTAAAAAATAAAAATAAATAGGTTGAATTGTTAGTCTAGACACCACATAAAAAAGTATTGCAGCATCTACACTGTAACCTTTGCAAGTAAAAACCCTCAGGCTTCAGAGTATCTGGAAAGGAAAATTCCAGCACCCAAATGAGCTAGGAAAAAATTTTGTTGACATCACTGTCTTAGTTAAAAACATCATTTTTTACTAATGCAGTTGTGTCAGAAAAAAAACAAGAGCAGATGTAATTACACTGGCAGAGTCTGCTTCCTATTAAATTGCTCTTCATTAACCAAACCTGAACAAGCTCTACTATTTAGCTTTAGCTTTCTAATGAAAAAAAAAAATCCCTATGTGACAGCTTTGTTGCCCTCCTGCTTCCTGCAAATGACATTTTAATATATTAACCACCTCCATCAAAATTTTAAGGTGTGTAGAAATTTCTAAAATAATGATGTCTAAAAAGGCTTCTGAATATCAGCAGCTGGAGACAACAGACCAGACTAGGAGAAAACACAGAGCCACTACTACTCAGGCACCCAGTGTACATCCTGCACACATCCCAGCAGCAGTATATAGCCTTTCTGGCCAGCTCACAGGATTACAGGGATATGGAGTAGGATAAAGGAAGGTTAAGCAAAAAAAAGCAGGGCTCAGAGGACACCACACTTCATTAGCTCTGCTGCTGTGGAAATTTTTTTCCTCTTTGGTGCAGCTATGTAATATCTTTCTGGTATGGCTAAAATAGCAGGAGCTTAAGGGCAAATGTGACCTTACATTATCTGTCTCAATGCTATTTTTCCTTCTCTTTTTTTTTCTCTCCTTCCTACATATGTTCCTTCTCTCTCCGTCTGTTTTCTCCCTCCTTCTCTTTCAAGCCACTTAAGCTAGAAAAGAGTGCTGCACTTCATCAGCCTCTTTTACAAACTCCCACCCATCCAGCTCCTCTGTCTTCCTGTACTTCCTCTATTCTGTGCTTGCTTGTAAATAATGGCAATTCATTGGTCACCAAATACATATTCAGCTACCAGAAAAAGCTTCTTCCTGCTTCCCCATACAACAATCTGCCTGAATTCTTCCAGAGCTGAGAAGGGACAGTTTAATCAGACACCTACCAAAGTAAAATCCATGCAAGCTACTTCAAACCTTCTGAAAGGTATTGAAAATGAGGCTAGAGTCAGTCTGCTATTTCTGTCTGCAAATTAAGTATATCCCTAGAAGACAGTTGAAAAAAAAAACTACTGAAAAGCACCTGAGAGCTACCAGACATGTTTACTGTAGAATAACTAGGTTGTTTTAATTCCCCATGATGTTTAAAACTAGAAAGTTCTGAATGAAAAGAAGGAAGGGCTTGATTTTTTTTAATATAATTCAACTAGCAACATTTTAATTTCAAGTTTAAATTAAGAAACAAATACCCCAACAGCACATTACAAATCCATTCCCAGCTGACACACTGAGAAAGCAGCAGATTCTTCCCTAATCATTTTCCTAAAAATTTCTTTAGCATCAGTGTCAAGAGGCTGAACAAGAGGAATATCATCTCCCATGTACCTGGATGTTCTAAACTGACACGTTATATAATAATTAGCAACACAACATTGCTTTTAACTGCTTCATACAGCAAAGGGAGCTCTGGCAGGCAGAGGATTTGAGTTTCTCTCAACGACTTCCAAAGGCAATGTGAGCTATCAGCATGGGGTTGACATCAACGAAAGGAACAGCTCAAGCTTGAGATGGAATCCAGCCAGCATTGCAGTCATCTCCCAGTAACTCATCTCAAAAGATAAAACACCCTTGTTACAAACTGGTCTAAATTTAGAATTAATTAGAAGACAAGGTACAATCTTGCAGTTTCAGACAAGCTTCCTTTGGGTGACAGCTAAACTGGCATTTTCAGTTCATACCCATATTTTACAGCTTTTATAAAAATTTACCTCCAAACAGAAAACTTATTCATTCCTTACATAACGACGACTTTTTAAAATAAAATTTAATTTTAAAATTAATTTCAGAGAAGCATATAAAGGAAAAAAAGGCATTTTGCCCTTATTTCTGCTATACAGCCATATTGGGGCATAAGGGAAATGGAGGTTTGCAGCAGAGATCTTTTCAAATGGTGAAAGAAAAACATGATGCTTTAAGGAGGAATTGGTATTGAGAACACATCTTCAAACTCAAATCTTTTAGTCACTTGGCTGCTTATATTTAAATGACTCCTCTCAAGTACATTAATCTTTGAAAGCACAACATGTAGGGATGAAATGGAGGTTCCAACCAGAGGGATTTGGTGTATCCAGCTTCTGAAAGATGATATCATTAAACAATACATTTTCATATTCTGAGTATGCTTCCAAGGCACAAAAGCCAACAGAAAGTTACTTATCCTGACCCCACTGTATGCCTTGTGCTGGCAGTACACCTTGTACACTGTGGTGACACAGGATCAAACTAACCCTAGTTTAAGCAAGTAAAAGTCCTTCAACCAAGTATCCATATATTGAAATAAATAACAGGCTTTCTTCCAAGTGAAGGGATGAAGATTCAAGAATTGAGCTGGACTGCAGAAGCCTTCATTTGAATGAGTTTAAAATGCTGCACAACAGTCACCCACTCATCTTCCAACCCACTGGCAGTCTCTAAAGCATTCATGGTGATTCAGCCCCTATAGATCCAGGTGTGAATGTGTTATCCCATAATTTCACACTCTGAAAAAACCTACCAGGTTTTATTTCCCATTTTCTCTCTAAAAAGCTCTCCTGGTACACAATGCAGCAGAATATTATGATACCAGATGCACACAGAACAGCACAAAGGTGGAGGTCTCAGAGGAGCTTGATCCTCATCTATTTTTATATTCTTAAAATAGCAACTAGCTATGTTACAGGACAGAATGAAGATGGGAAGGAGTACTGTATAAAACAGAACTGGGTATAGCTTTCTTGAGCAGAGGAAAAAAGAGAATAACAAATTTCTGATTGGACTAGGAAAGCACATCTCTCTCGAGTGTATATGAAAACATTGGGCTCCTTCAACTTTTATCTCATCTCCAATACTTAATGAATATCTCCATTATCTAGTGGCCACCAGGGCCACAGTGACCCAGAAGCCAATGTTACAAGGACAGGAGGTTTCTGAGCAAACAAGACAGAAATGAATGGCACAGCCCTCCATCACCATGCCTACCCAGAGGAGCACTATGTATTCATTCTGCTTATCTGGATGCAGATGAGCACAGAATGTAATTCCTTCTTTTCCTCAAGCTAAACGAAGATAGATCTTAGAATCCACAATCTCTGTCTAAAACAAATGAACATAATACATTCCTGAACTCAAACATAAGTCAGAACTTTAATTCAGTTTTATTAATTAGAGAACGGTTCCCAGAAATGGGAATCATTGTTAAATGCAGCTTGCTGTCCATTTGAGACAAACTAAAACCTGCAGCTTCTACCTACTCATCCCAGTTGCTGAGCTACATAGAACAGTGCTGACTGTCCTCCTAAATCCAAATTTAGGAGGAAGAAGAAAATTGCTGCATATTTCTATATGGTTTGTCTGTCACACACAGAACTCAGAAAACTTGAAGTATCCCATGATTTCACATGCACTCAGAATATGTCAAGCTGTAGTATTTTACCCAGCGAGTCCATTTTGTTTTCCTCTATGAGCCTGTTGATTAGTCCATTGGCTTTCTCAATGGTGCAGACAGCAACATCCAGAGCAGAGAAACGTCCAGCAGGAGCCATGCCTCCCATGTAGCCTTCAACTCTCACATCCACCTCCTGAAACAGGGCCTGTTTTCCAAGGATAAAGAACATTATGCCAAGGTTACAACTCTGAAATTCTGACCAGTGCCTGCTAGAACCTCATAAAAGCCTGCACCCTACATCTACATTTTCTAGTACTTTTAATGCCAAATAATCGGATTAAAGCCATATCTCAGTCAGTTAGTGACACTTCTTTTCCTCACTGTCATTTTTTACTTCCAAAGCAGAAGCCACAGAGTACATGTTGCAAGACAGTGTCATAACTAAGTAAAAGATGAGGACCCTTGCCATGTATAAGAAGATCTAATATTAAAAATGTTAGGGAACACACAGTGCAACAGTTTATAATATCAGTGGCTTATGTAAAAAGACACCTTCTTCTTGAGAAATCCTGGGCAAAAGCCAAAATGGAACTCCAAACACAGTGATGACACATCTCACAATGATAGCAAAGAAACACTAACTTCTCTTCCAGGTCTCATTACTGCAGTTCCAAAGCTTTGACATATCCCATGCAGCATTAACAAAAGATACAAATATTTGCACCTCACAGGTAGGTCACCCTTTGAGTTCAAGCATGTGCAGCTCTGGCCAAACCTCATGCCAGGAGCAGCAGAACAGAGCACTGATAGTCCTCCAATTTTACAAGATTAAAGCAAAAACGTGTCTCCATTATCAAGCACTTCAAAGTAGTTTTTGCACTTAGTTTGTAGGATTTCCTAGCAATTTGTAAAGTTAAGATACCATCTCAGTTAATGAAAAAACAGTCTTAACTGCCTTAAATGCCTGCTGAGTTTGGATTTGGTTTTAGTCATTGTCATTACCTAATGGCAACAATATTTGATATGGAAGTCTTTCAAGAAAAATGTGTATGTCTTGAAGAGTACTCCTACAGTAATTTTATTTTTTAAATAGCTGCAGCAAGGGAGCCAAGACATAGCCATATTCTGGCAGAAAAAAATAGCAAAATCAAATGCAGATTTTAAATCAAATGCACAAAACTGTGGTGGAATACCCCAAGGAATGCTAAAATATACTTTTATCTTTAAGATGGCATTTACGCCTTCCCTTTGTATTTTTCCTAACCTGCTCTTTCATTAGAAACTGCATTTAAATTTTGTATATTATCAAATCAGTGAATAAATGCAAGTAACAATGCTTTAAAAGTCAAAGCTGAAATAAAATGTTTTAATCAACTCTGTAAAATTTTTCTAAGTTTATCTTTTTGGCTAAAAGTTTTATTTTTTTATCTCCAGCTTAGAGCAAATTTTAAATTATCTACAACTTCTTTTTGAAAAAACTCAGCAATTTTTTTCCCCCAAACTCTGTGCTTTTGCATTTCTGTTTAAAAAATGTGACCAAATAACTACTACTCATAAATTTACCCTCCTTGAATGATACTTACCTGCAGGTAATGTTTCTTCTCCTTGGCCACAGAGACAAAGGGAAGGATGAGAAGAGCTTTCTTATGAGTCTCCAGGACTCGCTTCAAAATAAGCAATTCTGCAACCAGAGTCTTTCCAGCACTGGTAGGAGCTTGAAAATAAAAAGGGGCGGGGGGCTTAATTAATTTTTAAAGTTTGAAAAATAAATCCAAAAGCATCACAAATCTAGCAGAGAAAGCAGTTACTGGAGAACTTGTGGTGGGACTCCTCAGTTGATGTCTCTCACCCACAACCACATTTGCAGTCACCCCTATAGAGTCAAGAAGGTTAAAAATCACCTGCCTCTCTTCCAAGTTCTTCATCCTCTCAGTGCTGCTCTAGAACCTTTTTCCCAGGAAGGGTAGACAACCAATTGTAATTTCCTACAGATTTCTAGTCTACCAGTCCTCCTTCTCCTTTTGCATTACTTCCCCTTCTGCACACACACTCCACACACAATATGTGATTAAAAACGATAAATGAACTGAAAACAAACTAATAGCAAATAACAGTCTCAGAAGTATGTACATCTTCAGTTGTTATTATCATTCAGTTCCTAGTTGACAGTCTGTAATAAAAAAGAGTCACCATTAGCTGACTCCTAATTATCAACTTCTAAAGGAACTTGAACAGAGAAAATGGGGCAAAAAGTCTCTCTTCCCATCTGAAAAGGAGATCATTAAGTCAAGTTTGAGGTACAGAAATGGGACATATCTTAAGATGGCTCCAGAAGAGGATCTTGACCTTTCTACCTGCCAGATCCAAATGTCTCAGCACCAGTAAGTCGTTGTAAATGGCAGTGGAAAAGTTAGGGGGGGACTGGTTTTGTCAGATGTTTGCATACCTGAATAAACGAGGTTCTTCCCCTCCAGAACTTGTCCAAGCATCAGGCATTCTGCTTGCCATTCAAACATCTGCACTACTCCCAGACCATGGTATTTCTCCAGAACTGCTTTGGGAAGACCCCAGCTTGCAAGGAGCAACTTGTCCACTTGGTCTTCAGGAACCTTTACCTGCTGATATTGCCCTTTTGAAGGAGAAAATAAAAATAAAATTTAAAAAGTCAAGTATCATCTTTGCATCTGAGGCCAATTAGGTTATACACCCAAATGTCAAACTTCTCTGCAAACTCCTGTATTACAAGAAAAGACAATAAAATATCTGCCCTATATTTTTCAATATTTTGTGTGGATGGTTCACCGTTCTTCAATTCTTCTGACATCTTTTTTATTTCAATTTTTCCTCCTGTAAGATTTTCTACATTCAGTTAATCTCTTCACCAAACTGTTGCCCTGGATTTGCTTTTGAGACAGAGCAGCCATTACCGAATACATAGTCAAAGAGAGCTTCATCACTGATAATGTAACAGCATTGTTACATTAATTTGCCATCTTGTCCTCACCCACACCATTTCCCTTTTAAGAAGTTACTGCTACTGAGATTTCATTAGTTCTCACTGATTACAGAACTGCCCAGTGTTTTCTTTTACAGATGAATGAAAACCACAACCTAAAGCAAACAAGCAGCTCAAGCTACTATGTACAGTGTGTCACATTTCAGTTTATTAACACTGATTAATATCTTCACAACACTGCCAGTTCCTCTAGCTTAATTAAGTTCCTTGCTGATTATTTCTTGTGTTAGTAACACTAAACAACTTTGTGCTGACTACAAGCACTGCCTCCTCCCTCTACTTCTCCTCTGTTTTTCCAAGTCATTAAGAAAACTCAAGCTTTTTATCCCATTCATGTTTCTGATCCACAAGAATGCCTCCTCTATCACCCATAAATATATAGTTCCTGTAAAAGCATTTTGTGAAAGACCTTTTCAAATTGAGATGAAAACCAAGTAATCGTGTGTACTGCCTCTAATGTGCCTGGTCTTCTACTGGTATATTCAAAAAATTCTAAAAGAAATTTCCCACCATTGTTGACAGCATAAGGGCAGGCTAGATTAATACTACCAGCCTGCATAAGCAGCCAGCACTTCTTCTCTCATCACGCTAAAAATTTCAACTGCTGCCTTGAGGTTAACCCCAACCTAGGCTGTCATTGCTGCATCATCATTCTTCTCTACGCAGCTTTGCTTCACTTTGTGTAATCAAAGTACCATAAAATACTAAACAAAAATTTACCCACCACTGGGAGAGAACAGAAATATGCTACAAAGCAGGACAGACTTCCCAAGAGGAATTCAGAGGAGACCAGAATCATCTGTCCTAAACTGTGACTGTGGTGGGTTGACCTTAGCTGGACACCAGGTGCTACCCAAAGCTACCCAAAGTCATTCCCCTCCTCAACAGGACAGGAGAGACAAAAGACAATGAGAGGTTCATGAGGGAAGAAAAGGACAGGGAAAGACCACCCACCAATTACCATTACAGGCAAAACCCTTGACCTGGGGAGAATTAATTTATTACTAATCAAATCAGAATAGGATAATGAGAAATAAAGCAAAATCTTAAAAACACCTACTCCTCCCTTTTTTTCAGGCTCAACTGTACTCTAAATTTTCTCTATTTCCTTCCTCCCAGCAGCACAAGGAGACAGGGAATGGGAGTTGCAGTCAGCTCATCACACATTGTCTCTGCCACTCCTTCCTCCTCAGAGGGGAGTTCCTCACACTCCTCCCCAGCTCCAGTGTGGGTCCCTCTCACAGGAGAGAGTTTTCCACGAACTTCTCCAACGTCAGTCCTCCCTGCAGGCTGCATTCTTCACAAACTGCTCCAGTTCATGTCCCCCACAGGGCCACAAGTCCTGCCAGCAAACCTCCTCCAGCATGGACTCCCCTCTCCACAGGTCCTGCCAGGTACCTGCTTCAATGTGGGCTTCCCACAGGGCCACAGCCTCCTTCAGGCAGCCACTCACTCCTGCATGGGGCTCTCCACGAGCTGCAGGTGGATCTCTGCTCCACCATGGACCTCCATGGGCTACAGGTGGATGACAGCCCGCCTCACCATGGTCTTCACCACAGGCTGCACCGCAAATCTCTGCTGAGGAGCTCCTGAATGACCTCCTCCCACTCCATCTTCACTGACCTTGCTGTCTGCAGGCTGTTTCCATCACATCTCACTCTTCCAGCTGCAGGTGCCATTGCAAAGGCTTTTTCCCCCCCCCCCTCTTAAATACATTATCCCAGAGGGGCTACTGATGGCCTTAGGTCAGTGGCAGGTCCCTCTTAGATCTGGCTGCATTGGCTCTGTCCAATATAGGGGAAACTTCTGGTGGCTTCTCACAGAAGCTTATAGTCCACCCCTCCTTGCCATGCAAATTAAATACAGTGATTAATATGGCAGAATTAGGATTCAGAAACAAAAAAAAAACCCTATGTGATAGGACCTCAAGCTTTTCCCCTAATGTTAAAACCAACAAATTTCATGTAAAAGATGGAATGAGTAAAGGATCAGGTGATTCGGCTGTTTGAAGAGTATCTTTAGAACTGAAGATGCGTTTGGAAACTTGTGGCTTAGAGATCTATGTACGGAAGTATACCTGCAATACTAACCTTTTTTTAAATTTACTGAAACAATGCTAAGAAACAGTCAAAATTAGAAGATATAAATTGTTGGTTAAAAGCATCAGGTATTCGATTTCTCAGAAGGAAAACTGTTTGAGTGTAGGGCCAGTTAAACACAAGAGTGCTGCTTACTGAATTGTTTTTTGGGGAGCTCCATTTGCAGAAATTGACAAAATTGTATCTTGCAGAGCATAATCACATCAGTGAGAAGATATGACATGACTGGAGAAGAGACTGAGCTGTGGAAATGCTTTAAAAAGTTACAGAAAAATCACAAAAGAGATGAAACTGAAAGATGCTTTGTAAATATCTTGATTTAAGATGTTGTATACAATCTTGATGCTGTATGCATCTTGATTTCTCTCTTGATTCAAGAGCACAATGAGCTGGTAAAATGTGTGTATGGCATCTAGAAGCATCACTTTAAGTGTCTCTGCCTGGCAGCAGGAGCACTTGATGTGACACCTGGCCACAAAACGTTTATAAAAAAACTTGTAGATTGCATACAGAAATATATTGTGTATACTTCTTCTGTTTTCTATATGTATTCTTTGATCAATTTCTCAACGTAGGTAAACAAACCTTGTTTGGTATAGCAAGGAGAACGGACGATACCGATTGCTGTATTATGGCAGCACCTAGAGGCCAAGCCAAGAATAAGGCCCACTGTTACACCACACACAGCATGCCCCCATCTCAGACCTGCGCACAGAATACACACTTCTTTATTTTGTTCCTCGGCTACACAGCGCGGGGTGCAGGAAATCCTTCGGTCACCACGCTGCTAACACAAGCACGCACCTCGGCTGTGGCCGCTGCCCTCCCGGGGGAAAGGAAGGGGCGAAGCGCGGCCCGAGCTCCGCCGCCCCCGGGGCCAGGGCCCCGCGCCGGGAGAGGCTCGGCGGATCCCAGCCCCTTCCAACAGTTCCCCGGGCGGCCCCGCTGCTCCCCGGGCGGCCCCGCTCCCCTCGGCTCCCGACCCGCCGCGCTGCACGGCCGAGGGGAGGGCGGGAAGGGAAGGAAGGGGAATGGGAGAGAAGGGCTGCGCTCTGCGCGCCGGTACCTGCCGAGCCGCTGCGGCGCAGGGAGAGGTCGAGGCCGGGCGGGGGGCTGAGCACAGCGCGGCGGGGAGCGGCGGGCCCGGGCGGCGCGGCCCGTCCCGGTGTGCGGGAGCTGCCGCCGCGGAGCTCCGCGGCCGAGGCGGCAGCGGCGCCGCTCGGGGAGATAACGGCACCGCCGCCATCTTCCCGCCACGCCATTCAAACCCGGGCCCGCCCCGGCCGGCGGGAGGGAGCAGGGAACGGGCGGGAGCAGGGAACGGGCGGGGACAGGGAACGGAGCAGCGGCAGGGAACCGAGCTGCCCGGCACGCCCGAGAAGGGCGGCCGCCGCAGAGCTGTTTTCTGGTAAAATCGCCGGTCTCCGAGAGTGCGGTACGCGTGCGGTAACGCGCTATGTACCGGTGAACGGCTGAGGTCATTTAATGAAGGTCTGCTCCAACGCTTACCTTGCAGGAGAGGGCCCATAGGACAAACAGCCTCGTTTGCTGTTTCTAATATCTCAAACACCAAAATAGCTTTCAGAGTCTAAAATACCAGGACTGGTTTTATCTCTCCTCAGCAATGTGAATGCGAGAAGCAGTTCTATGAAAATTGTGCAGTACTCAAAAAATGCATGTTTTTGTCCATCACCCACAGAAGTGTTAAGAAGCGTTATATCAAAAAATAAGGTTTTTCTAAGTTACTTTTCATTTCAGCTGAAGAAAGCATACTGATCTTTCCAAATATAAGGACAGCAAAGGGTGAACATTGAAAGGAGTATGAACACACACAGTAATTTCCTTCTAGACAGCACTTCTTTGTTTTGGGTAACACACACACACACACACACACACACACACACACACACACACACACACACCCCACTCAGAAAAGCTCTTCATGTTCTGTATCTATCTCTCTTCAGATAAATGGATCACAGCTTAGAAGGCTGACTTCACATGAAGCAGGACCGGCGGTCATCATCTCAAACACATGCAGAAATTTCTGGCCCTTGAAGAAGAGCATGTGCTTTCATTCCCATCATTAAATCTTAAAATTAAATGGAAGCAAAATTCTTTAAGAATACTCCTGTCATTTTGGACAATTATATCTGAGTATGTGTCAAGGATGGTCTAATGGAAGAGACAACATATTTTAATAGTCTTTAAATCAAGCAGATGAAAAACCTTCTTTCATTGTTCAAGTTTACAAAACCAGATAAACAGTAGGCTAACAGTAGGCTCTTCTGTCTTTCAAATCCCAGGCACCAAGTAAATACAACACACACTTTTTCCCTAAAGCAATTATTTTAATGAATTGACACTTGGAGAATGTATCCATGCTGCTACTCTGTTGACCAAAAGTTAGATACATTAAAGAGAGGAGAGGCACACAGAAATCCTCTGCTAAAAACTCCTAACAGTTTCTTGTATTAGTACTGAAAAAATATTGAAGAAAATAACTCAGTAAAGATTTCTACTTAGTAACAATATATATTTCTATTGTGCCAGAAAAAGACCAGAAAGCCCTGCTGTTATTTAAAATGTTCACAGCATAAACATGTTTCACTTCAACATGTAGTTTTACAACTGCAGTATGAAATCTATCACTTCCTCATCACTTCATGTCCTCCTTACATTTTTGAAAAAGCTATTTAAAATATTAAAGGAGACATCTACCTTCATTCTATTCTTCTTTTTTTTTTTTTTTTTCTTAACGGGGAAAAGACAGGTTTTGCTATCTGAAATTTTTAATTCATTAAAAATAGTTTACAAAATTTGAGGACAGACCTACTTAACCAAAGTAGAAAAAAGAGCTAACTAGCAACCAGTCGAAGAATTTGGTTCCGTAAGTATGTGCACAGCTGGTTCATCAAGTCTCTGTTCTGTCCTTTAACCCAGTGCATTTCTACCACTACATCATTTACTTCTTTCTTCACATTCATTAAACACTCGAACAGAAAACCCCCACTAGTTTCTTTAGGGCCTGGCTCTTTTTCCACTGTAGGATTGCTAGCTTCCTCTGAAGGGCAAGGCTCCTCCTTCACATCACCAGAACCTTTCCCAAGTGATGTTTCTCCCTGCTTTGCTTCCATCTCCTCTTTCTTCACTGGAGCACTGTGCTCTTCTTTGGCAGCAGATTCCTCTGGTTGCTCATCACCTGCTGTCATCTGGACATCCTCATCAGGTGCCATAAGCCCCATTTCAGAGTCTTCAGCCTTGGGATTTTCACAGTCCGAGTTGTTGCTCACGCTCTTCTGGCTGTTCTTTTCCTCCTCCATTGCTTGCAGAGTATCTTCAGAAGCTCGAGGAAGTTCTCGTAATTGCCTTATTCTTTCTCGTTTCTTTCTCCTCAAATGAATCCAGGAGTTTTCAATGGCAGTCACAAAGAGGCTTATTTCATCTTTTCCACATGGAACCCGTTTATGCTGAACCTATTGCAGAAAACAGAATTTCATACGATCCTCTCACAGTTATGCTTTCAATTATGACATAGTTTTAAAATCTAATACTTCATACTGTACCTTCAGATCAGTGAGAATCTTCTCTACCCAGGCTCTAACCACAGCAATAGCTTCTACAACATCCCAGCCCATAGCTGCACCTTTGACAGATAACTCTTTGACTGTAGAAGCCAAAACCATGAAGGTAATTGGTTTTCGTGGTTTTTCTAATTTCCTTCTTTTAGAGGGAGGTGACTAGAAGGAGAAAGAAAGAAAATAATTACAAGGCTATGCAGTATTAGCAGGATGACTTTTGCACTCAGAAGACTGTGATTCCGTAAGACACGAGGATTAAGAGTGTAACATAAGGCACTAAGCAGTCACTCATATGGCCCGTGCTCCACTTCACCCCCAGAGTTTTAAACTCAAACCAGCTAACAGGATCATGCACTTGATGCTAGCCTGATGGACAGAGGGAGTTTATCTTCAGGTATTAGGCAAAGAGCTTCATTGGTTTCTTTAAACTGTGAGCTCTCCATGAGCTGAGAAAGTGTGGCTGCTCTTGGGAACAGAGGCCAACAGCCAATATCCATGTTTTGATCCAACTGCACTGAAGGTTTACTTGCATCTTCCTTAAGATTGGTTATCATCTATACCTATATTCAAATATACAAATATCCAGATCCAAAAAAGCAACTGGCTCACATTTAAGGTGAACAAGCTCCACTTACATTCATGTAGGCAAGTCTGAGTTAGACGTGGTCATACCTATTTGGTAACAGAATCCACATGTTAAATTAAAACTGAGTTCTCAGAAGGAAATTTAAATTCAAATCCAGCCCCAAACTTAGAATATTTTTTTTTGCTACTAAACTGCTATCTGAGGTATGTTACAAATTATCCTTACTTTCACTGAAACCCACAGGAAGTTCTAGAACGGCTTCCTTTTTCCACCCTCAACAAGGGTCATTCACGAATCACATGTCACAACTGCTAACAGACTGGCAGCCATCTAAGAAATTCCGCTGTCCATACAGCCCAGCACAACCAATATTCCAGTCTGAAGAAGAACAGTTTGTATCACAGCAGTTATAGCTCATTAGCCCCTTCCTCAAGTAAGAGGCACAGAAAATCACAAGCAAACCAGAATTAAGCTACTTACAGGTACTTGCACATCATCATAGAAACTCCAGGCCAGTGCCCATCTCATGGTGCGTCCCTGGCAGAATTCAGTGTGAGTGACTTTAGGAACCTATGCAAAGAAGCAATACGTTATTTCAGATTAATAAACAACATTGTTTTACTGCACACATTTTCAAACAAAGCATATTTTCTCATTACACAAATGGAGATTCTTTTTGACATGGCTCAGAGGTGTCAGGGCCCTCTCTCATTTCTCTCCCTTTACTAAGACTGAGGTACAACAGTTCAAGGACAGAGAAGGAAAATCAGATATTTTGTATCTAGCTCATCATCTGCTTTTGGTAATTCATCTTTCTGGGAATTTTCTTCACCATGCATTCTCTTTCTTTCCACTGTATACACAGACAGATCTTGTAATTATTCTCTTGTATGGGAATTAGTGAAGAGTATGCTTCCTCCAAAAAGCCACCCAAAAGTTCTTTGCACAGCCCTCTTTAATGAGAATAGTAGCACAAGATTCCATTTTACTTAGTGCCTAATTCAACACTAACAAAACAATACTGACACTTAAATCATGTTATTAGTTCTTTTATCAACCAAATTGCTAGAAAGCTAGATTTTTTGTTGTTGTTGTGTTGTTTTTTTTTTTTACTACAGCATTGTTGCAGCTATTTTAAAGCAAAAACCCTGACTCTTCTAGCATAAAGACATACTCCAACATGTGCTAAAGACAAAACTTTGGAGATAATATTTGCTACTTATCTGGCAGTTTTGAATCTATAATAGTTAAACCTCAGTTGTTTCCGTAACAAGGAATTCCAGCTCCTTTTGGTAGCAAAAACTCTGTGAAATACTTCAACAATAATTACCCACATACATTGAAGCATACTATAATCTGTATAGAACACAAGCAGGATATATAAAGGGACTTCTATGCATACTCACCCCCTGGATTCGAAGTTCTTCCTTCAGTGGTGCTAAACTGCATTTCTTCCCCAACATACAACTGTACCATCTGCAAAGCACACATTAAAAAAGTGTTTTACAAATAGAGGTCAATTGACAATGGCAGCTATTAATAAGAACTACTTGTATTAGAAAGCTGAAAAAACAATACGAGATTAAAAACCAAAACAACAACAAAAGAAGTCACACTTAAACAGAGCGACTAGAACATAGTACAACAAAATTCAGAACAGAAGGTCCAAAGACAGACTGGACAGGGATATCTTTTTGAGCCTTTAAGAAATACATTAGAAGTATTTTAGAAACAACACATGAACAATGTGCAGTCTTGCTTCAAAGAGTGACTTCAGTTACGGGGCAGATGTTATACCTTACAAGAATTTGTTTCAACTTCTCCCCAGAACAAAAAGAAATAACCAACTATTGGCAAGTAATCGTGCTCAAAAGCAGACATACTGACTTATCACTTGTGCTTACTCATACCTTATCCAGGTTTCCAACACGTAACACATATGTGGAAAAAATCAGGAAAAAAGGGGAAGAAGTTATTTTCCCACTTCTAGTGAAGCTTACCATTCCACCCAGCTCCACATCTTCAGAATCTCCCAAACATTACTTTAGATGAAGCTATGTTCTTCATCTAAATTATTATTCAAGCTTTACAACCTCATCTTCCACATTTTTTTGACGACTTGATCCAAAAAAGCTTATTTATAAATATAACACATTG